CAGCCGGTATAATATTCCCAGTCATTAATGAAGTGAAAGATGATTCAGTAAACAAGCTGAAATATAAAAAGACGACAGTCATAAGTCTGTATGAAAATTAGCACGTCATAGAATTGCCACAACATAGCCAAGGGTGGGAAGATCATGACATACTACCAACCCATGAAATTATTAACTCTATATTTTACCCATGACCGTAAGGGTGGAATTACTGGTTGAAACCTGTACGAAGCTCGTAATCAACGGCTAGAGGTGTTGAATTACATAGTGTAAAATTTATCGGAATGGAGAAGTTTCATTTTCTTTAAACCCTGAGCTGAACGCCATTCCTAACTTTTTACTATATGACCTTATTTATCTCTTGTTTCTATAATATCTTATACTTGTGGTGGCAAATAAATTTCCAAAGTAAATAGTTCTGCATGTCTTCAATAGTGATACTGACCTCATTAGTTTTACTGGATACACTTCAGCTCAAGACGCTCGGTCAAGCATTCGCACCAGACCACGACTGGGTACACCAAGCTACGCATCCCTCACAACAACTGGTCAGCTTATATCAGACGCTTCTCAACTTTCAAAATATATATCCGAACTCCTTCATTTCTGAAGTCTGTTTTGACTGGGTTGGCATCTTTTTATTACAAAGATGTTACGGACAAAAGCGTTGTCAAGTTGAGCATCCGTGGAATATTTATACTTTTCACTTCGTACATCCAAATTTTCCATTATCACTGATATTATTATTTTTAAGACTTCGGTACCTGTCATAATAATTCCATCGCGCTGTATTACGTATGCCCAACTAACGACTGCCCCGACGTGCAACGCTTTATGGTGTAGGAGTAGATTGGAAGAAAGCTAGGGGCGGCCAGATCAAAACATGGCATAAATCCATGAAGTCGCTGACAAGTGGACTGGGCCGTGTTGGTAGGTGTAGACTACCTGGTTGGGATTCGCGAGATGCAAGCAACCGATGGTTAGAGACCTTGAATGACATGGCTCAAAATCGTTTGCAATGGCGAAGGTGCATCCACTCTTTGTGTTCTCCCAAATTCTAATCTGAATTCTTCATGTCCGTATCTTTTTTCTCTTTCCAAATTTATTTCACCGTAGTATACTCCTTCAATAACATCTTCAAACCCTTATCTTTCACATAATACTTATACTCTTACTACTTCTACCAATATGGGATTTGAATCGACAACTTCATCTCTGTGCTAATGTGGTATGGCGACTCGAACTGATGTACGTACGTACGAAGTTCTACGTTGTAACTGACTGACTGATCGCGCTGTACTTATAGTGTTACAACTTGAACATATGTGCACATATCAGGTCCTACGTTGCTCATGACTGAGTGACTTTTGTCGTGATATCCATTACAGTTGAAAGCAAATCCTTCGTCTTTCTTGATTTCCTTTCAAGCCGTGCTGATGAGATGAGACAGATTCTACATCAATGATAACTGACATATATGGCTTAGTAACCATGAGGATATTTGTGCATCGCGTTACAAGTCACAATTGTTCTGCAAAAATTAGAAATGATTTACAAAATAAATCTATGTTAATTATCCCGACAACCCTAGGCTATTTATCACAATCATTTCTGTGAAAGTATGTTCTTAAAAAATTTATTAGGTAAAACAATAATTTGTAAGAATAAAACCACACAATAGTGGGGCCAAAATTTATGAACTACTTGTAAGGGGTACCAAAGCAGCCTTAAAAAAATACACTTACTATGCTTAAAAGGGGATAGTAAATTAGTGCGAATAAGGATTAGTATTTACAGTTGAAAGTTAGAGGTGGGAGTTGAGGTCCCCGCCACGAATCAATGTCGATTATAATGCAAAAATCCTATTAGGCCTTACAGGTGGATGGATTCCGTGTCAGAATCTAAGACTTACAATCTTTAGTCTCATTGGTTTGTCCATACACAAAAGAAGTGTGAGCCAGACTGACAAAGCGCACTAAATTTCGGTAAGGAAAGTAATTGACTACAATCTGCAGTAACGTAGAAGCAAAATTAAGACAATCTGGTAGTCGAAACTAGATGCCAGACTGCAGCTTAGAGCCCGTTAAATCGATGCAGTTTAAACAGCGCCAGCCATTGTAAAGACCGCGTTCTCCTTTACTAACCAGTTAGTGCCTATGACAAACTTCAGTCTTCAGTAGTAAGGTTAGGAGGTCGATAGACCTACGTTAATCTTTTCTATTTGTATTACTTTGGAAATCCAATCTCATTTTGAATGTATCAACAGGTGATAACACTACTTATCCCAGTAGAGAATTACAGAAGTTAGTTACCTGGTGCCAGAAGCGAAACTCCAGACATAAACGATCAAATCTCGAATTACCGAGCTTTCCGAGAATGTTCTCTCAGATTATACTCCCTGGAGAGAAAAAAAGATGAAGAATATTAAGGACCAACATTGTCGTTTAGTAGACGATAAACCAGTATTAGATCCCCCGTGACCTGCGGTATGATAACCAAACTAGATTGGGGCTTCTCAGTCTGTCTTCATATTTTAAACCGAAGAGACATTTAACCACTTTGGTCTCTCGCCACTGAACTAATTCTAGCATATCTGCTTGACAACTGACTCAAGGACTCGCTGCTTAAATCCCTAAAGTCAGATTCAGATTTGTGTAGCAAGGACAGAAGGCCTGCAGCCTATGTTATTCCTTTCCTAGTGTGTTTCTACGAGTGACCAGTTGTAGTGGTAAATAAATCTCAAAAATTAATAGCTCTGTAAGTGTTCAACAGGCGACAAAGAGAAAGCCAATCGCCACATATGGTAAAAGGTAAGTTTACCTTAACGTGGGTTTACGCAAACCCATCCACTGGATCTTCGTTGTTGCAGATGTTTCCGTGCCAATCATTGGTATAGACCTCTTACAATACCACAGTCTACTCATAGATACGCGAAAACGGAGGCTAGTAGATGGAAACACTAATTTATCTGTTTGCGTGACTTCTTTTTCCCGTTGCAGATTGTCCCCAGTCACAATTAGTCACACAATAGACTAATTCTATAACCCTTATTCGATAAGTACTCTGGGATATACCAACCGCAACGGAAATTGTAGTGTGTAACCAGCAATGTTACACATCACATCACGACTACGGGACCACTTGTATTCTCGAAAGCACAGACTGGCACCCGAAAAACTGAGGTTGACCAAAAACGAATGCAATCACATGATAGAGTTAGGAATCATTCGACCTTCAAATATCTCATGGACATCTACCTTGAACATGGTCCCTAAAAAGGACAGCAACAAGTAACGTCCAACTGGTGATTATAGACGTTTGAATGCTAAAACCGTTCCCGACCGTTACCCGTTGCCTCACATCCACGATTTTACAGCTACCTTGAAACGTACAACCGTCTTCTCGAAAGTCGACTTGGTGAAAGCCTATAACCAGATCCCTATGGCTACTGACGATATTCCAAAAACCGCCACCATAGATCCCTTCGGACTCTAGGAATCTTTGCGAATGCCTTTCGGCCTAAGAAATGCTTCCTAAATCTTCCAAAGGTTCATCGACGACGTTTTCCGAGGTCTCAACTTCGTACATGCGTATGTTGACGACTGTCTAATAGCAAGTCCAGACAGAGAATCACATCTCAAGCATCTGGACATTGTTTTCGAACAACTCCAAAAGCATGGCATTACTGTCAACCTTCAGAAATGCCAAATCGGAACAAACTCTTTAGACTTCTTAAGACACCATTGATGCTCAAGGCATCCGACCTCTAAGAAGCAAAGTGGCGGCCATTCTGGATTACCCAGAACCGACGAAGATTAGGCAGTTGCGCACTGACTGAAGGTTGTTGATTGTGTTTCATCTGGTGGGCGATTACTACTATGATAATTCACCAGAATTGCCACTTGAAAGACGAAAATCAATGATTGAATATCAACGAATAGTTTTCAACAGAAACAAATATTTCGACTCAAACAATGCTCCGATTAATTGTTGTTACATGGTTGAATACTCACAATGGATTAAAATAGTATACTTATGTCTAGAACCTGTCTTAGCACTATTCGGAAAAATGGCCTAAACTAAAAATTCATAAAACAGAGAAACATGCCCAAACATTATTCAAAGCACAACAATCCACATAAATAACACCCGGTTTTATTCAGATTCAATTCGTGTTTTAGGACTCATGACGACGATGGTGGTGAAGACGTAAATGTCGGTGTTATGATGCTGTTTGTACACTGGATAAGATGTGAATATTTCGGAATGTGATTGTAAAAGTGCATTTTAAATAATACTGATTACTTACATGTCTGTGTGGACGTATGAAGAAGCAAAAGCAGTGCAGCTACGTGAAACAAAACTAGGTAAACCATATTCACTGGAACTAGAGCATTTATTCTTCTGCTTATATACAATCATAAAATGAAGGTGGAACAGGAGGGGTGAGTATTATTTACCGTGAAAAAGATTAATCAATGTAAATGAAATTAAGAAACTATGCAAAATCTAATGGAAAACAAAGAAAGAGAGACACGTTGCATACTTTCTTTGACCGACATCAGCATATCTTAAATAAATTCCAAACATCAGTTATGTACTTTGGATAAATTCTAGAGTTCTGGGTCAAACTCACCGCATGTATGAATTTAGTATTTCCAGAAAAAGAGAGAATATGCAATCAGGCGACTTTTAAAAATAGTAAAAATAAACTGAAAATATTTATTTACCACTAATTATAAGAGAATTTTATTAATACACTATGCTTTTTATTTCTACAATCAGACGATTTCTTAAATAAGTATCCACGTAGATATGTACCTGAATAATCTATGTATTTTAACTGATGAACGATAAACGTCATACGGTTAGTCGATTCTTTTCTAACTAACTTGTCAGCTCATTCAGCAATATTCTTTGATAATTCCTCGAACTCACGTCTTTTGCACCTCCTAGAACATAGGCCTCAGACCAGCATTCTCCGAACACCTATGTCAAAGTGTGATGTTTAAATAAATCAATGACTTCTTCGTATTGATGACTGTTGTAATTTTGAATTCCAAATACAATACATTCGTTCGGGCTCATCTGATACTTCTTGATTAAATTGCGTTATTCCTGGAATTACTAGTTCATACTACAATTCAAATACTTTTAATTATCATATTGGCGTCGCGATGGAGCCTGCGATACAACAGTTGGACATTCATTCAACTTCTGAAGCTTGTGAGGATTACCTTGAAAGGTTTGAGATATGGAGCATGACCAAGAAAGATATGAAGGGTGACAAAATTGTGGCACATTTTCTTACATTCATCGGTCAAGAAGCCTACAGTTTATTAAAAACCTTGGCATATCCAGATAAGCCGATTTCACTCCCATATACAACTCTCAAGGAATTACTATTAAACCATGTGAAGTGCACCAGTTTTGAGTGTCGTGAGAGAGCAAAATTTCATAAGATGATTCGTCAGGATAACCAGAAGGTTAAAGACTTCATCCTTGAATTGCAAAGACAAGCTGCCAAATGCAATTTTGGTGATCAGCTTCATGTACAGTTGAGAGATCGGTTAATTGCTGGAATTAACATACCAGATCTGGAAAAGGAGCTGTTAAGAATGCCGAACTGTTCTTTTCAAGATGCTAGAACTGCATGTATTAACTACGAAGCAGTGAATGAACTTGATATTCAATCGATGAAAATTTCTAATACTTTGCTTAGTCGTCATGATGAATTACAATCTCAGGGTCGATCAAATTTGCGTTCGTTTAATCGTGATTGCTATTCCCGTGGAAATATGAAAGGTGGTTTAACAAGGAACTGCAAAGCAAACAACAAAGGTGAGAATAAGTTTGGTAAATGCTTATCTTGTGGCAAATTTCATTTTCGTAATTCATGTGCATTTCGTAATGCTAAATGTTTTAAATGTGGCAAGATAGGACACATTCAGTCAGTGTGCAAAACTACTGTTCACTTTGCTTCAAGTATTACTAAGTCTGGTAACTTAGATCCCAATAATTCGGCTGTTCTTGATGATCATTTATCTTTATCCACTACTTCAAAAGGGAATGTTCATATTCAAAAGCGATTATATACATCCCTTGGTTCATTTCATGACTTTATTGTGGACACAGGTAGTATAGAGTCCATTATTTCATTCAAGAACTTGAAATCTTTAGATCCTAATGTTGTGGTAAAACCCACTGAGGTCTCAATACTGGGGATTACTGGACACAGACTACCTATACGAGGATGTTGTAAATTGCTAATAAGAGATGATAATTCTTCATACGTACCTTGTGAATTTTTAGTTAGTGAAACAGGACTGTCCATACTGGGTTTAAAAAATCTGAAAAGGCTTAAAGTGGAATTGTCTCTACTAGTTTCTACAGAGAATTCTGATGCTTTACTCAAGGATTTGATAGCTGTGTGTGCTAAGTGTAGTGGAGGTATGAAAATTCAGCCCATTAAACTTCAAGTACAGGGTGATCCGGTCTTTCTTAAAAGACGAATAATTCCTTATGGTCTTCGAGAAGCAGTACATAAGTCACTGAATGATTTGTGTGCGAAAGGTATAATTGAACCAGTTCAGTCCTCAGCATGGGGTACTCCTATTGTTACGCCATTGAAATCGGATGGCAAGACCCCTAGAATATGCGGTGATTACAGATTGACACTGAACTCCCGTTTGTTGAAGCAAACATGCACGACGATGGAGGCTGAAGATATTCTAAATCGGCTTCATGGTTCTAAAGTGTTCTCGAAAGTTGACTTGAAAGATGCTTATCTTCAAATCCCTTTAGACCAATCTTCATCTATCTTGACAACAATTAACACTCCTTTTGGTCTGTTCAAATACAACTTCCTTCCATTTGGTCTTAGTTGTTCTCCAGCCATATTTCAAGAGGTCATGAATAAGATAGTCAGCGATATTGAAGGTGTTGAAGTTTATCAAGATGATCTCATTGTTCATGGTGCTGATAAAGTAGTCCATGACCAGAGACTTATTGCTTTATTGCGTCGTTTAATTGAGAAGAATATTACAGTGAATCCAAATAAGTGTTCATTTAGTGTATCTAGTTTTGAATGCCTTGGATACCTAGTTGATGGTAATGGTTTTAGACCAGATATGAAACGACTAGCTCCACTGACAAATGCACCGTCTCCAAAAAACATCACAGAATTAAGTTCACTAGTGGGTGCTCTTCAGTACTATTCTCGTTTTATTCCTAATTTTTCTTGTCGTGCCAATTGTTTATTTAATATTTTGACATCCAATTCATTCAAATGGGGTGAAGAACAAGAGTCATGCCTACGAAGTCTGCTAAAGTTTCTTCAAAGTGATGCTGTCCTTCGAACTTACTCACCCAGTGTACATTCTGTTCTTATTACTGATGCGTCACCTGTAGGTATTGGTGCAGTTTTGGAACAGGAAGGTAGGCCAGTTATATGTGTTTCACGCAAACTTTCTGTTGCTGAACAAGGTTATTCACAAACGCAGCGAGAAGCGTTAGCTGTGTTTTGGGCTGTTAAAAGACTTCATAAATATTTATTTGGAAAGAAGTTTACCATTGTTACTGATCATGAAGCCTTAAAGTTCATTTATCATCCTGACAAATCCTTAGCACGTTCCTCAGCTGCTATGGTTCAACGATGGAGTATTGCTTTGAGTGCTTATGACTATACGATTCAGCACAGGAGTGCAAAACAAATTCAACACGTTGACTACATTTCTCGACAACCATTACAAGATAGACCTGTTAATACTTCAGACTGCTTGTTAGTGCAACCTTTACCGGTGAGACGTCCAGATCTCATTAGAGAAACTCGTAGATACTTTGGATGTATACTCAGTGCTATACGGAAGGGTTGGAATGCTAATCTGAAACGTAGATTTCCTGTCTATTATTCAAAGCGGGACGAGTTATCTACTACTCCTGACGGTATTTTGTGTTTAAATGATCGTGTTGTTATTCCTCCTTCATTACGCAAACCTGTCCTTGATGATCTTCATAGTGGACATCTTGGTGTTGAGAAAATGAAATCCTTAGCAAGACTCACATGTTGGTGGCCAGAGATAAATGCAGATATATGTCGTACAGCAAACAATTGTGAGAAATGTCATAAGCTAAAAAGTCTGCCTTCGAAGTGGACTCCATGGCCAGTATCGTCTGAGGCCTGGCAGAGAATTCATGCAGACTACTGTGGTCCATTTCTTGGCAAATACTATGCACTTGTAATTATTGATTCTTTTTCTAAGTGGCCTGAAGTTTTTTTCACAACTTCACCGAATTCTGACTTCACAATTCAAGCATTAAGGAAGGTGTTTAGTCGAGAAGGAGTTCCCATGGTGTTGGTGACTGATAATGGCTCTCATTTTGCTGCAGATGCAGTCACTAATTGGTTAAATGGTATAGGGTGCAGACATCTGTTTACGGCTCCCAGGCACCCTTGTTCCAATGGTCAGGCAGAAAATTTCGTAAGAACATTGAAAATTGCTATTGATTCTATTGCTGCTTCGACATTCAATGAACTGGAGAGGGGAGTAGATACATTTCTACTTCAATATAGAAATGCTAAGCATTCTGTGACGAAAGAGACTCCATCAAAGCTATTAAAAGGAAGAATTCTCCGTTCGAATATGAGGTGTTTGGAGTCTGCAGAAGTTACGTATTATCGTGGTAATGATCTTCGACCAGCCACGGGGATCGTGGTGAAGAATGTTGGAAAATCTATGGTGCGAATTCTGGATATCAATGACTTGACCATACATAACCGACACGTTGATCAAATACAATACCAGAATCCAGGTGAGTCTGTTCCAATTTCGGTTGTTAATTCTAATACTAATGAGTGCATTCTAGATAATACAGAGTCTACATCCAATACACCGTCGGACAGATGTAAGATGAACTTAAGAAGAGGACGAACAATCGATTACAGACACTTACACTCCAATTCGAGCTGTGGCGGATGTGATGTTTAAATAAATCAATGACTTCTTCGTATTGATGACTGTTGTAATTTTGAATTCCAAATACAATACATTCGTTCGGGCTCATCTGATACTTCTTGATTAAATTGCGTTATTCCTGGAATTACTAGTTCATACTACAATTCAAATACTTCTAATTATCATACAAAGACCATGCTTTCCAGTCATTGTCAGGCGCTATTTATTTTTTTGACGTCTGCCTCAGATTCCCGAAACAATGTGTCTTCATGTATATCTCATTTCATTTTGTTCCGAGAATTCTAATTCACGGCTTGACTGGTGAATCAGTTTGATGATTCCCACAATGTGCGTTCAAGTAACCTCTAGAGTCCTTTCGTAAATTTCTCTTCGTCTAAAATATTAGTTTGTTCCCTGCCACAATAGGTTTCTGCTGATGGCACTGCCTTGTGTAGACAACTGTTATGATGGTTGTAGCAGATCAACATGTCTTTGCTCCGTAAAACAGAACCTTTTCGACGTTTGTATTGAGGATTCCCGTCTTTGTATGAATGCAATATTCTTCCGAACTCGACATTTTCTTCAACTACAGTAATGTTGACCTTGCCTTTGCAACGCATTCGTTCTCTTATGCATCAGAATGCCCTTGTTTATCGATAGTGCTTCACAAGTACGTAAAAGCTACCGCCTATTCCAGAGCTCCACAATAAAGTGTGATTTGGTTGGTGCTCACTGTGTTGTATTTCAGAATCTTTCTTTTCATTTGTGTACGTTGAAGCCTACTGCTTTGGAGGCTGCTGACTAATGCTTGTCTCCGCCCGAATCGGTTGATTCACAAGGGATGAAAGAACCAGGTTGCCTGATAAATCAGAGTCGTCTAGTTGCGTTCAAACTGTTCATTGTTATTAGCGATTGGACAAATAAGTTACCCCCTGTCATGTTAGGTCTAAGAAAATCAATAAAACAAGGAATTGGATGCTGTCCAGATGAGTTGGTGTACGGAACTTCTTTGCACTTACATGGGAAATTTATCGCTTCAGGTAAGAGTGTTTGGACGGATGTATCCAACTATGTACAGTGAATAAAGAGGCACGTGAATGATTTAAAATTAACCTCTCGAGGTCACAAGAACGCCGGGTATTCGTGTTTCAGCAGCTATACAGTAGCACTTATGTGTTCATCAGAAGAGGCTGCATGCAACCACCATTGCAACAGAATTGCGATTGTGTGTCTAGAAAGATTTAGAGGACCGATGAAACGGTGAAGGTAGAAATAGCCGGAACGACTGATGTGGTCAGCATCGATCGAGTAAAACCAGCTTCCATCGATAGTGGTCTTTATTCTACAAGCACAGATCCCTCGCACACACATTTCCTTCTCTGCATCAAATTCGCTTGATGTGCTTATAACTTTGTTGTCTGTGCTATCTGCTTATATATATGATGGTGCTTGACATCTAGATGATGTTCATCCGGACAAAGATGAAGGTTGCGTCTACTTTGTCCGATTCGGTGTTGGGACAGTTCATTCAGCAAAGCTAGAATTCTTCTCTAACATCCGTAAATTTTCTATTTTTCAGTTTCTAAAGTACAGTCAGTATATTCCTTTGTTAGCTGAACTCTATAAATGATACTATCTCACGTTCAGTCTTTGAATGGTTTGGATCTAGTTTCTACTAGGAGAATATGCTTGAGTAGTGTGAACACAAATGTATATGAATAGATGTGGACGAGAGTAAAATCTAAGAGAAAGTTTGTGGACAATTCAGTATGCGAACATGCTACACCTACATTCATAATGATGAAAGAGACCAATACAAACGCCACATCTAGACAATAAGAAAACCTAAGTCACAAGTTGATAGAAAGGGTTTAGCACAAACCACAGATCAGTGAGTAGTAGCACATATCATGTTTGTCAAGTACATCAGCACTGATAGAATTCTAATCATCAAGTCACAGTGTGAACACTAATCGCATCGACAGAAATCTCTGGTTGACCTAGGTTTCATGGTATTTGGCACTACTGAACAAGACAAACCAACAATACTGACAGGATTGATGCCTCTTCTGGGACTCGAAGTCTCGTCACATATCTCCAGTGTGAGATGCTGTCATCAGGGTATTCACGAAATCTATAACTATCTGATCAACAATATCATTTCAGAAATTAATTTTTTCACTTTCACACACAATTTATGCACAGAAACTGGTCAGTAAAAATAAATCCAAGTACAGCGTTACGTATCCTTTCACCTTCCTCTTGATACCATTCGACTTCGCCACTTTTTTTACTTCAATTATGGTGAAAAAATTGTATTTTTTAAAGAAAATACCGTCATGGTTTTACAATATTTCTTTCATACTCTCCTAATCATTTCTCTTGTGGAAGGATTCTTCTCTACAATATGTTTGTGTGCCAGAGAGATGATGAACACTGGAGAATACGTTCTCACAAATTATATCAGAATAATAATAATGATAATATCAAGTTCATTAAAATGTGACTTGTTATATGGATTGCGTGCCCTCTTTAATATATGAACGTGATATGACCACCTATCAGAGAACAGTGATTTCATCGATCGGACCCAGTGATGAACGAAAAACCATGTGAGCAGTTTTGAGTACTTGTCAGTCCCGATTTCTGCCTAGCCCAGCCAGTTAAATCCAGAACACCAATAACAGCCTCTGCAATATGAATCACTATTCCCAAAAATACTGGGTTTATATACCAAACAAACTGACCATATCGTACCATAAAATAGAAAATAACATTTGTACAAGATTTAGCCAAATGTGGCTGTGAATAGGGTGAACAGTAATTAACGGACTAGGGATAACTCAAGAACGATGAATCATATAATAATAGTTCATAGGTCAAAATAAAGCTTATAATAAGAGGGATGCGAATATCAATAGTTTAGTTAGTTAACAACTATACAATAAAAATAAACACATCATATTGCTCCATAAATAGTTCTCAAAGTTACCATTCATATATCTCCACGAAACATAACATGAACCTCCTGATATAAGTCAAGTCTCTTTTGATGCATTTTAATGTCATAGCTGTGATGTCAGTTTGGTGAGTCAACACAGCGAATTCAGTTCTAGGATCACCTTTGCAGAGTCGAATGAAAGACAGTTTAGGGAAACACAAATGCTTGAAATTAATCGGTTGAAAGATAGATAGAGGAAACAATTTCTGTCCCTTCCAAGACAGTATAAGTCCTTGAGGCTAAAAAAGAAGTGATCAAGCATCTTCTCACTCCAGTTGTGATGATAGACTGTAGGAGAAAACCTATAATAGACTTTATTCCCAGCACTACAGTTGGAATGGGCTGAAATGGTCGGAAGCCGACGTTCATCGAGTTAAAAGAGTTAGTTTCGTCTAGTGCAGAAATAATACTCAGTAAATTCGTGCAGTTTACAACTATTAAAGGAATTTTGAGCAGGGTATCCTGATCCATACAAGAGTTGTCGTTCGAAAAAGCCAGTACCAAATCACCATGTGTAATATGAGGGCAAGGTCAGATAATTGATGAGCGTTAGATGATACGTGGGAGAAAGTGAGGGAAAAGACGTTTATTTTTCTTATCTTTGAAGGAGACATAGATCAGCTTATGGTCAGGATCAGCGCTACCCACTGTCGTAAAAATCCACAAAAGTTCAGGGAGCTTCGAATGAGCGATTAACGGATAGTCATTGCTGGCACGCAGAGTCACAAATAGAGTGTTTATGGGTGTTAGCCTTGCACGCATTAAGGCTGGACATAATGGAATTTGTTGATATATCTTTCTAGACAATGACTAGAATGTTACCCTTCTCAAGCCGAATACCTTATGACTCTCAGGATTATCATCGAAAAGTGGAAATTTTGCCATCAAAACGGTGAGTATAAATAAGTTGACCAGATTGAAAACCAAAGCTATTGAAGTATAACCATTAGACGAAAGCGAACGCATATCTGTGGAACAGACTGTTATGGTAGATGACCTACAGGTTAGTTGACCAGGAGAACTTGCGAAGGGCAGTGCTAAGAAATGGCCACATCTCGTGAATTTGCCTTGGCCCAAGTTATCAGGCGCCGAACACAAATTGCTCATCGGTTGTAACATGCCTGAAGGGTATTAGGTCGTGGACCAAAGGCTAGGTAGATGAAACAGTCTGTAAAATTATGGTCCACCACAGAATTAAAACCGCTATAATAATCAACCTAATCTCAAAAGTATAGATTTGTCATGATGTGACAACCTAATCTACAAGATCTTACGTGGAAGTCACATCATTGTCTATTCCGATTCGTCGTATCGTAACCACAAGCAATATAATGTTTAGAATTTCTAAATAACACATTGAGGCTGAAGTATGAATTATTACGAATCGGTGAGATGTCACACAAGAATGATCACGTCTGAAAGGCTGAGTCATGCCGCCCGACTGAATGAATGTTCCTGCGTTCATCATTGTTGCCTTCTCTCAGTGTTTAATGTTGAATATCCATTTTCCCAGTTACCTCATATTCAGAGTTGAGGTGGTATGTAATTGGAATCGATACCACTACAATCCTTCATGCTATTTCGACACTGCTAGGACGGATTCTTTTTCGACCAGCAGGCTATAACAAACACGTTAAAAGGATCGTAAACCATATTTCACAAACTGACAACTCTGTAGAACATTTAAAAATATATATAACTATAAGTTTGCCGATGTCCTTTTCTTAGAAATCATTACCTTTGGATGATTTTAAAGCAATTAGCGCAATAGAACACGATACTTATTCTTATGAAAATAAATAGGTTGTTTCTTTATCTTGGTAGATAGAAAGAAATGTGGTATCCAGGAATTACGCTTTATTCGGACAAAGATTAGAAAGTTTGAGACGTCGGCTTATATGCGATAAAGACCTTCGGGAAAGCTACCCCATGCCATGCATCGGATGGTTGAAAGTGGGTCAATGGTTGTAGTTCCAGGGATGCGACGCTTTCCGAGTTCTCACCTACGATTGTGTTTGCCCCATCGTGATGTGATTAAAGTGAGAGTAGTGCTGGATTGTGTTACCAAATCTTTGTCTACCAAGTTCTAGATATAACGGCCGATAAAGTGGGTATCCTGTTACGTTCCCGCAAGGAACAGCTTGTCATGCCTGCGAACGTAGGGGAAGTTTTCATTCATGTAAAGGTCTCGAAGCCTGATTGTGAAGCTCTACATTACTTTTGGTGGCCAGAGAATTGTCTCCTCAACGAACCTGTGGAATATCAGACAACATCGTACCCCTTTGGGGAAATGTTCTCACCTTTCTGTGCAGATTTTACACTGAAAAAGACGGCTCAAAAGTTCTCTAATGACTATGATGGAATTGGTACTTCACCACTTTAATTGAACGACAACCGGTATCCTTTCACAATGGTGAAGATGAGGAAACATTTGTGGTATAATCGAAAGAATTGATGATCCGAGGGGTTTTCAAGCTGAAAAAGAGATTACCAATTTGAAACTGGTAAGGGAAGTGATTCCGAAACCTGATAAAATGGGAACGGTAGTTGGTATGCTCTTGAATCAAGGGTCCATTCATAAAGCTCTTGGGATCGAATGGGACACCGAGCATAATATTTTTATATCTAGATTTGATCGAGAGAAGTAACCTTTGATCAAGAAAGGAATGCTTTCTACCGTCTCATCTCCGTTCCATCCATTAGCACTAATTTCTCTAATATACCTTCCTGCTAAGCAACCCTTACAGAGCACTTTTAAGTCGCACATTGGTACAGAAGCTCGGAACAACCAACACTCCTCGAAGTGTTAGAGATGAGAACAAAGAGAACTTTGGAACAGTCGAGTTACATTTGTTTTGTGATGCCTCGGAAACATGTCACGGTTCAGTGGCTTACTCGTAGAAAATCCCTGAGCATAAACTTCCGGACAGTGATAGTGGTTAGTTTTTTCGTAAAAGCCAGTTCTGCTTCAGACGTTTACGACCACTTATATTTTTCTGTTTGCCAACATTATGAGCATGCAACATCAGCATTTTATGATGAGTCACGTGGATTGATTGAGAGTCGTGAAACAAAAATAACCAGTCACCGACCGCTAAGTTTAATGTTTAGAGCAGATACGGTAGCCATTTTGCAAAATGCTGATGCAGAAGGCTTATTATCTTGCATTAAGTAACATATTAGGGACGGAAATACAATGAATTATCTTATCAAGACCTACATTGAGATTGCTGATGTACATGCAATACATTTTCCTGTAGTGTTGTGGCGGCATTGATCGTAACCAGACTATCCTCAAAGTTAAAAACGAGCTAACCGGGAGAATAAACATTCAACATTTATCACGGGGAGAAGGACAATAATGGTGAACGCGGGAATATTCATGCATTCAATCAGATGGCATGGATCAGCCTCGCTGATGTGGTCATTCTGTATAACGCGTCTTTGCTCCCATTAAATATATAATCCTATCTTCAGCCTAAATGTGTTCTTCGGAAGTACTGAATATCATATTCTAAATTGTTGGTACGATGAGTCAGTATAGACCATAATGTGAATTCCATGTAAGGTCTTATAGATTAGGTAGTCACGTCAATACATATTTACAATTTCGGGATTAGGTCTATGATTATAATAATACTAATAACGAAGTAGACCATAATTCTACAGTGTCGCCTTATGAGGCATAGATGTACATGGTTTGGAGTACAACTTAACGGGAGTGGTATAATATATGACTGATCTGTGTGAAAATAACTATGTTACTGGGCATCATAAACATAATAACCGTCTAACGCTTCTTTGACATTCACCTGAGTAACTTCTGCAGTTATCCAATGGAGATTTGAAGCAACCAATAATCCGACACCAGGTTAACTCGAGAGAATGAGGATTAAATATGGTGTATCAGTGAGGTAATTCTGGGATTCGGATAGCATTGCAGACTGATTTGGTAAGGATCCCGAAATAATTCGAGCCATATACCCAGCACTGACTGAGCGAACGATAAAGATGAAGTCCAAGGCTGAAGGGAATTTCAACTTCACACTCAAAACAAATTTCTGGCATTTGTATTGTCTCACAATTGATTGATCACTGGGTGGTGATCAATGTCATGCATGTCAAGTCCTTCTTAGTGCTGATCGAATGCTATCGATCAAGTTGCAATGTGGCCACCAGTCTAGGTGGCTCAACACTGCTTGCACTATATATATATATATTGAAGTAGGGTGGTGGTTGGAGGTGGTCAACAGGAACAGATACAGGTACACCTTGCTGACGAGTTCCAAGTAGCACGAAACCCGGGTCCAGGGTTTCCTGTTAACCACCTCCAACCACCACCTTACCTCAATATTTGTATTATCTGTTTGACAATGGAACTCGGGAATCAGAAATTCTATAGGCAGTGGTCAGGTAAGTAAAATTGTCGGGGATAATCTGTATCGAAAAATGGAGTATGAAATAGAGTGAGGAAAGAAGATAAATGTAAAGTCGGCATGTAGTGGAGGTTTACACCAGAGTGAGTGCTTTAAAGGTAGTTGTGTATCCGCGTTGTCCCGTGGTTTTACTTACGAGTGGTTGAAATTTTTACAAAAATATTACACCGGAGCACTTATATGCTGCCCATGCTTGTTGAAGGACTATGATGGTCGATTATAATTGCAGTTGGTTAGCTATTTCCATCGATTGAGCTAGTTACTCAAGTTTGAATACTAGTCAACACTGATTTAAAACAGCCGATGTTCTAAGTAACCGACATACCAATGCATTAGTGGATTATTGGAACGTTATTCGAAGTCCGGTTATCTACTGCTACTGTATACGGAAACCTGCTAGATGAGGGCTTCTTCTACTCCGTACACAACCAATCGAACTATCTGCAGATATACATGTAGCGTTAAGCAAATCCTCAAAATAAATGGCTTCGCGAAACCCACCATTGGTCCGGAGATTATTAATTGAAACAGAAACTTGGCTCTGATGGCGACAGGTCAAGAATCGTGGCAGTATCTTTCCACAGACTACTCGAAGACTCTTTAATATCAAAATATCTGTGTGTAGAAAATTTAGGAGACTTCAGTCTACCAAAATTTAGCTTTCAGAAATCCAGTAGCAGAATTGACAAATAATCCCCTCATCCCTTCTTTGAACATCAGAATTAATCTTTCTTTCAGTTTTCCATGGCGGAGCGAGAAAATCCAAGTATGAACATGAAAGATCCTTAGGACAAAGTTTTTTCTATTTCTCCATCAACCGATCGAATCTAACTGAACATAATGTAACTTCTACGAGATACCCTCTTGTAATAAAATTTGTAGAATTCTTTTTATCAAAAATTATTAGTTTATTCACTGAATAGCTCTATCCAACGATGTTACATCTATATTTACGTAACAGATAGTGGTTTGTTTTCTAACATCAAATTCAAGGTTTCAGTGATCTGTATATTTCAACCGAGATCGGTTAGTGGTGTTGTAGCAGCTGGCAGGACAATTCATGGTATGTTTAGATTTCTCGGTGTTTATCCACTAGGAACAAGTCACTACATTAATTCTAAAATCGTTCTTTGTGGATTCGAAAACAAAAAGTATGTCGTTTTTGAGCTTATTCTTACTTCTAGTTAATAGCGAAGCAGCTTCCCTTTGTGATCACTTAGTAGAACTCTATTTATCAGGTTAGGCTTTCTCTGGGTTAATTGTATACTTTTCAGAGGCCCTTACTCGATCTATTGCTATTGCCAAGCAAAACAAAAGAACATCAGTTTCCCCCGAAGATTTCGAGAACATCATTGTCCAAATTTTCCTAGATTTTTCTGCTTGATCTCCACAATGGCGTTGACAGAATTAAGAAACCTATTGTTATTGGTACTAGATATGACTCCCGCCACATGGGGTTCTTGTAAAAGTGAATTCGGTCTACCAAATTGCATTGAGGCAGTCCTTGGTTTCGCAAATAGTCATTTAATGTTGTCTCCACATAATGAATTAGCAGTAATAGGAGTTACACCTTCGAAAATAAAGTTTATTTATCCAAACGACTTGGAGCCCCCTACTAGTGCTTCAAATGACGGCCAGAATGATGCACTTAGCTGTATGAATAACACTGTCAGGCAACTAGCATTAAGCCTTGTAACCTCCTGTTCCTCTACAAGCACACAAATTGTTTTGGCTGGTGCGATAATAAAAGCATTGTGCTATTACCTTCGGCGCTGTCGTGAATTACAGCCGTCTACAAGACATTTAGATGATTCCTTGGAGATGACAATGGAGATTAGTGAAGGAAGTGAAAAGATTTCCTCTCGGATACTGATTATTAAGGCGTCTGATGACAATTCTTCTCAATACTTAGCGTTGATGAATTCTGTGTTCACAGCTCAAAAGCTTCATGTTCCAATAGACACATGTGTGTTATCATTACCACAACAGTCAGATAATTTAAATGGCAGGTGTGGGCCATGTTCTCTCGGACACTCAAGTCTTCTTCAACAAGCTGCAGATCTAACTGGTGGAATTTACTTGCAAGTGCCAAGAGTTTCTGGTTTGCTACAGTATTTGTTATCAGTATTTTTGCCATCGTCTAAAATGAGGACATCTCTCTTACTTCCAGATAGTCGATCCAGTGGTTTATCGTTTGGTGTTGACTTTCGAGCTGCATGCTTTTGTCATAAACGATTGATAGACATTGGTTATGTTTGTTCGGTATGCTTGTCTGTATTTTGTGAGTTTAATCCGATATGCCCTACTTGTAATACACCTTTTTTGTTACCAGCTGTACAAAATATGTGAATAAATGCAAAACAAGAGACTTGTTCTTTTCTTCTTGACAATGTATATTTACTTGAGATGCTTATTCGCATTATAGATGTCTGACGAACGTCCAATGAAAAAAGCAGAAAAACACAAGGTAACGAGTCTTTATGTGTAGTGTTTATTTACATATATTTTTACATTAAGCTATGTATTCATTACATGGTTGTGGAACATCCACTTTATTAATTAAACACAAATATTGGTACAAAGGGGCACCAGACACATATGCGCTACACAAATCTTATTTAACGTATGTGAGGGCTTTGATACTGCCCGGATGCCCAGATCGAAGCAGGTGGTTTTCTTAAGGGGCCATACCCCGAGCCTTTGACCTAAAGGTCTGATCCAGAACGCTGTGGAGCATCATGAGGAGATGCGGTCACATGGTAGCCGGTGACCAACAATTGATTCATACGCCATTTATTCCCTCAGTATACTGGAGCCTGTGTGCACCAATAGTTTGGAATCAGGGTTTTCCAACTTCCCTAGGTGAACATTCCTTGTCCACCAACCCGGTTAAAGCGCCGAACATTCGCTTTCCGTCCTCTCACTTTTGTGAACAACACCCCCGCCACGAGAAGGCAGTGAGTAGGACTTCCCTTTTGGAGGCTATATACGCGTGGCCATGTGAGCATTTGGAGAGGGAGATCGTACCCTCCCCATTCTCGGCCGTACGAGGGCATTTGGGGGAACATCCAAACATATCAATAGGCAAATAATATACGGTTCCGACCTCAGGTTCATATTCTACATTCCATCTTCTGGTGACCAAACTACAATACGTATAGGTGTACGTGTTTTTATTCTCCTTAAATATTTATAAAAACTGAGTCACCCTAATATTATCTAAATCTATCATACGGAACTACGATGAGTCAGATGTCGACTGCATTACTTATTGTTTGTTTACCGTCTATCATTTACTTGCACGGAGTATACATTTTCTAAATTTAATCCTTATCCAAATTTTCATGTCTACCTTGTCATCAACATGTTTAGTCGACCGAAGATGTATGGAGTTAAGTAGGATATGTGTTTTGTTGATATTATGCAATTACCGTTATTATTTGATGGAAGTCACTAAAAGGCCATTAAAAGCTAAACTGAGAAAGAAAATCAGTTGATAAAGTTGTTGGTTGTTGGTCTTATGTTGATAGATGAGACCATTTTTTTGGGGTCCTGGGGGATTATAGTGACCAATAGTTGGAGACTTTGGGCAACAATTGGAAGTCTGTTGCAGTGACACAGACCCATTTAATCTTTGTTTACCTTCTAAATTCCGAATTTCTCAATATTATTTTATACTTTTCATTCCGCCAATTTATCCTTGAATTATATTCTATATCTAGTCTTTTACTACCTCTGATACTACTACTAATAAGTTCATTTCGCTGCACTGGTATAAATATCACTCTGGGTTAATGTCTACTTGACTCACGTTCTTTTGTCGCATATAGCCAGATAACGGACAATCGTTAGGTAAAATACATTCTAAATGAAATAATATTCATTGCACGAAAAAAGTTAAATGAAAAGTATGATATTCAATAGATTTTATCTTGTCTTTTGTTCACAGCTATCTGATCCACTTGACGATGTAGCTTGGAAAATTATGGTAAGTTCTAGCGGAAAATGTACTTATTCAGAAATTTATTGTCGTCGAAGTGATCTGTGAGGTACATATTGTTTTTTTAGAGTTACAATATTGTTAGAATACTATAAGTTATCTAGTGGAGGATTTTATTGTTCAAAGAATATTTAACTTTCAAACAATAGGCAATAGCTTCAAATCCTACTACTCTACGTATTTCGATTTAGTCAATCGAGTAAAATCGTGAGCTTCAACATTATATTCTTTATGCAGTTGATATGTCAATCCGAAGTGACCTGGTTGGTCAATGAATAAAGACAGAAATATATAGTATATCACTTATCTCTATTGTAATATATACCTCTACTTATTTTATTTTCCAAAAAATAACTTGTTTTTGGTTCATATTTGGTTCTTGATCAGACTGTCTGGTTACTGAGTACGTTTCCTATGTGAGATTAAGCAACACTGACGCTCTAACAGGACTTTTCAGGTTAATGTAAGTGAAATTACATGCGTGAAATGGAAGACTTGAGGCGTATGCAAATGAAAGAAAGATCAATGATTGATAACTACATATTGAAATATGATAATCCTCTAAATACAGGGGAGCATACAATTAACTAACCGGTATTACGCTCTTACAACCTTACGGTAGACGACAAGTTTAATAAATAGAAATTAATTAAAAAATCTGCTCATATACTGTCATATAAAGTACTAAAATAAATGCTGAAATTTCTTTTGTTTAAAATCTTTATCATGTCATTAGCGAAAAATGGGTTATGAACATGGTCAAGGATTGGGTGTTAATGCTCATGGTGTAGTTGAACCGGTTGCATTGAGTAAACAAAAAGGCAGAAGTGGTCTCGGCTCAGTAAAAACAACATCATCATTTGATAAAAAGATTGAATCGTTCTCAGGCGAACTCTACCAATCTTCCAATCCAAATTTAGTCTGGCATGAAGGTTGTGATGATGATTATACTACAGCTGATGGAGATTATACCTGGTCATGGTCAATGGAAGGCGAATGTCCTACTAATACTTTATCGGAATTAAAGTCTCTAATTATCAGTCCCGATGAACTGGAGGCTTTAGGTCCGCCTATTGAAGAGTTGGATAATGAAGATAAATTCTGCTCGATTCATCTTGTTCAGGAAGTTTTAAACTATAAGGTCCGGTGATGTTTCTCAACTATTTTACTTAGTTTTATGTGTTTTTAAAAAAAAGGTAGAATATTTGATTATTAGTTTATTTTCGAGACTTTTACACATCTTTTTAATCATCGATTTAGTTTACTGTATGTCAAGTTCTAGTATAAAAATAGGTTTTGAGAAAATTGGTGGCAGCCAAATGGAGGAGTGGGATAAATTCAAGAATATTCTGTCTCAGTAATCGCCGCATTGATGCATAGACTTTCTTGTTAGCGTCATCTCAATCGTAATCAATGGTAACGCGGTTCAAAATTGATCTCAGGATGTTCAAATGCATTTATTCTTTGTTCACTTCTGGATCTCAAGTTTTAATAGTAATACATTTTATTATCTGAGTTAATGTCTTCTTATTTTATTTATTTAAGCACATAAATATTGGTACAAAAAGCACCAGATACATATGCGCCTCACAAATCTCATTTGATTTGTGTGAGGGCTGTGATTCTTCCCAGGTGCCCAGACTGAAGCAGGTGGTTTTCTTAGGGGGCCACACCCGAAGCCTTTGACCTAAAGGTCTAGTCCACAAGGCAGTGGAGCATTGTGCGGAGGTGCAGTCCCATAGTAGCCGGTGACCGACGACTGGTTCATACGCCATTTATTCCCTCAGGATATTGGAGCCCATGTGCACCATTGGTTTTTAATCAGGATTTTCCAACTCCCCTAGGTGGGTTTTCCGTGTCCATCAACCCGGTTAAAGCGCCGGACATTCGCTTTTCGTCCTCTCACTTTTGTGAACAACACCTTCGCCACGAGAAGGCAGTGAGTAGGACTTCTGTGAATCGAGGCTATATATTCGCTGGCCATGTGAGAGCATTTGGAGAGGGAGAGCGGACTCTTCCCACTCTCGGCCGTACCAGGGCATTTGGGGGTCATTGTGTTACGACTCCCACTCTCTTGAATGGATTTGGTAACCGAACCTTGGTTAGGTTACTGGTAATGTTTCGGAATGAAGTGAATTATCTTGTTCATTTGTCCAGATTTGAGTTGATTGGTTTACATTTGAAGTTTAACATCACGGTCTTATTTCAGTTAAACATTCATTAAAAAGAAGGAAGCTCCGGTCAACTGTTAAATCCCATCGTAGGAATGTTTAGTAGTGAGTATTCATGGGTCCACCATTGAGGATAGAACCCAGAACCTTCACGTCTAACTATGAGCACTGAACCTTTAGATCATTGAGTTGGTATCCAGTGGCTAACATATCCAGTTCCAATTAACTCGTAATATTTCGCAACCATCATCTATTGTTATTAATGATACTTATCTCACGCTTGACATGTTGAACTCTACTAGCCACAACCTGTCATTGGTAAGCACATGTTAGGTGTTATGAAAATCGTATTCACTATCTAGCAGTTGACATTTGATTACATAAAACTGTGTTTAATTTGGCTGCACATCTTCCCTATTCTGTCTTTGTATTACATTTGGGATGATGATCTAATCATCTTTCCCTTTCTTTTTCTTACTTTGTATAGAATCAGTTGGATTATTTATCAAAATTGAATGTCACTAAAAGTCATGAACGTTGTAATCCATATGAACTGATAAAAAAGGGGATTTTTATGAACAGGTGAATATGATGGTATATTAGTTTTTTATTTGTTACTTAGTAACCAATAATATTATGATCTGGTAGTTGACGGTTAATTGCCAAAAATCCCAGTGCAAAGATCCATAGTAAATATAGAACTAATGGAGAGTGTGAAATAATGGTTCAGACCAAAAAAGATGTGTAGACTGTGCAGTGGTTAAAATTAGTCGACACAACACTCTAAATCTAGGTTTCGTGATAGTTTGCACTCACCAGCTAGGTGTACTTGCAATCGTATGGGAACTGATACCCTTCCCCTTAGGCTTCGAACCCACTGAGTTATTGGCAAATGGTAGTAAAAGTGGTGGCTGATAAGTATGAGAGATAGTGATTCACTTGACGAACATGGAAAAGTTGATGGAAAAAGATAAAACTTAGACTTAGTAGCTGGTATTAATAGGTGTAAAGAATTAAAATATCTCAATGATGGTTTTAATCATTCATACGAAAAATCGGAACTCACTTAAGAACCATAGTAGTAAGATGACAGATTGAAAATGAGACTTTAGAACACATTGTTTAGGCTCAAGTTGCCCGTATGTTAACACCTCTACATTGTGAAAGGTTTTGATTCATTAATTTTTTGGGGTTTATTTACTTAACTATATGTGATAATTTTCAAAAGACAATGTTGGTGGGACAGCATAACCAGAATCAGTCTTTTAAGTGACTTGAATACTTAGGCAAATAAGACTGCCTGGAGGTACGTTTAAAAATGAGGTCATTTGGCTCTTTTTTTGTTGCCATGACCATACTATCTGACTGTTTATAAAGTATGAAGTATAACGTATAACATTTAATTTTGTTCCACTTACTGTGGTATGGTTGCTTGTATAGGTGTCGAAATACATGATTGACTAATGAATCGAGTACACATCGTGTAAATAGTGACACAGTTACAGGTGGAATAACATATATATTAGAATATTTATTTATTTATTTATTTAAACACGAACATTGGTACAAAGAGACACCAAATACATATGCGACACACTTTGCCATTTGATCATTTGAGCTGGAATACTACCCGGCTAATCAGACCGAAGCAGGTGGTTTTCTTAAGAAAACACTCCCCGAGCCTTTGACGTAGAGGTCTAATCTACAACGCAGTGGAGAAACGTTAGGTCATGCAGTCTCATGTTTGCCGGTGACCAACGGTAGGTTCATACGCTATTTTTTTCCTTAGGATCCTAGAGCCCATGTACACTAATGGTTCGAAACCAGGGTTTCCAAACTCCTCTATATGTATCCTTCGTATCCACCAACACCAACCCGATCAAAGCGCCGGACATTCGCTTTTCGTCCTTTTGATTTCGTCAACAAAACTTCGTCTCGAGAAGGCAGTGAGTAGGACTTCCTTGTCAGTGGTTGTATACGGGTGCCTATGTGAGAGCATTTCGAGAGAGCTAACTCTCAACACCCTCAACCGTATCAGGGCATTTGGGGGCATAAAAATGACTAGTCATTTATGTACACACTTCATTGGTTTTACGCTTTCCCGTCGAATAATCTAAGTTGAGCAAGAGAATGATGATCAACTGTCAAAGATCGAATGACAATTGTTGACATCATCAATATGTTTACAGCTATGATGGTACATATTATACTATTTTAAACCTGTTAATTTCATCTCATCGTGTTGATGTAATGTGGCAACTTTGACTAACCCATATTTGTGCCAAGTTTTACGTGTTCATTATAACTAGTTAATCACCTCAGTGATTTCAACACGTTGATCTGCGTCTCATAAAAAGTGATATCCAGTTCAACAATAATGATATATAATTTGGTTTGTAATGGTTTCTTAGTTTCTAATCCTAATCACATTATGTGTATTCTGTAGTGGTATTTGATTGATTAAGCTTAATCATATGAAATAATGAGAATTATTGAAATGTTATGAAATTCAACAATTTAAAAGTTGAAGTAAAAAATGAATCATTTCAACTATCCGGTTATCATAGACCAGGTATTCTCTCCTCTAGACGACCTGGACAACAGGTCATCCATATCGGCTCCGTGCTTAGCGTGGACGCCTGATCAACATGAGCACCCATATGCCAGAACTCCTGGTCCCACGAAATCGCGCACACTGGCCTCCAAGTAGCTAGATTACAGGCGCATGCCACCACACTACACAATTATTATTATTACACTATTGTTTTCACTATTTTTAATCTTTTAGGGCTGCAATGAAAATGGCCAACATCGATTCAATCTTTAATGGAATGTTTACAACTGCTGCTCCGAAAGATGTAAGTGCATATTTTGAGTTAAATAAAACAATAGCGGTCGTGTTTATTTCACTGTTACATTTCTCCAAATAATTCTTTTAATACGGGAGATGGTTAGGTGTAAAGAATAAGTGAAAATGTGATTATTTGGAAGCTGTATGCTACTGCTTCAGTTTATATCCATATTCAGTTTATCCCTAATATCTGACCTAATAGAGATGTTTGGGGATAAAAGAATAGCTAAACACTGTGGATATATAAATCACGAAGTTAAACCTACTATATACGTATGAAATAGAATGGGAGTAAGGACTTATTTGTCGGCTAGCTGGAAGACATATATGGGTGAGATTGCAGATCATCAATATTCAGCATATGAACTCGTAATTTTCAGTACTGTTCAACACATACTCTGGTAGTCTCAAATGGACCAGCACTTAAATCGAGAACACAGTGTACACACTTGTAAGTATATTACATTTGTAACTCGAATTTGGGGCGTATTAATAAACAAAGAGATTATTAGCTAACACAACTACCATATCTGCACACAGCCGATGCAAATGTTGGGCTTTATGTAACCACTGAAAAATTTCCATCATATTAAAACAAGAGATGTATACTAAATATCCACTTCAATTATCTCAAATCTTTGCACTTCACTTTTGTAGTTAACACGTTATCAAACATTTTATTGGAACTATCTACATTTACCAGTAGAAAGTGAGTTGTACTTGAGGCATTCTTAAATTCTCTAGCCTCAGGATAGATAGTCCAATATCAGTAACCAAAAATTCATAGGTTATAATTTATCAGTGGTCATCTCTGATCAGCAAATTACAACATACAAGAATAGAAAGTTCATGACCAATAACATTGGAAATAGAAACTTTTCCAAGCTTGATTATAACATTGTAATGACGCCAACTTGTTGACTGAAACGATAGGTCTGGTGCTCAGTGTCAACAATAGAATGATGAAACAAACTGTCAAACAAATGTTTCACATAACTTTATAGTACCTTGAGAGTTCCATAAGGGCTTATCTGGAAATGCCATATTGAAATTCCACTCGAAATTTCATTATTCATTAATATGTCCCCAAATTTAAGTTAAAAAACAATATAATTACAAGTGTATCTACTATCATCTTCCTAATTTGAGTGCTGGTCCATTTGCACATATCACAGAACATGTTGAAAAGTACTGGGAAGTACGAGTTTGTATTTGGAATCCAATCCTACTACTTATGTTTGCTCTTTAAGCACCTTTATCATGCAACCTGAAAATAGTCTTTCGAATGCTCTGAAAGAACATTGCTTTAGTTAAAAGCCGGTAAAGTAGTTTTATAAAAACATGTTTTCCCTCCCATAGCTTTTCATTTGTTGTGCACTGAATACAGGAAAGTACACTCTTGATTTTGATGTAATGCGTCTCTAATCTTTTTGCAACATGACACTTGATATAACGCAAATTTTTAACAACAACAAAACTCGTTAAATCAATGTAGAAATTGGCACGCTCTGTTCGCTAACTAACAAGTATGATCGGTGTAGTAGTATGGAATTCGACTATTTTGAGGTGTTGGAGGTTTGTAGCTCAGGTGGGTGATTTAGGTGGAGTTTTGTTATCTGAGCTAGATGGTTTAGTCGTGGAGCTTTCTTCGTCCTTCTGAACGACATTATCAGCACAAACTTGAGCTCAGAGAACAAAAAAACCCAAATTCGACTATCGGAGGGTACCATGTTATCTATTCACGTAGTGAGTCAATATATAACGTGGCATAAGTTTCTAGTAGTCTTAGATATATTTAATTTTGTAGGGTTGTAAGCTCCGTTGTGCCTCTTCTCGTGCTTATATTGCTTCGACATTAAAGCAGTACTCAAACCTAAATACGTCTATGTCACACTACCCAATTTACACATGTATTGCTCTGTGTTTATCCGTTTAATGCTTCTGAGTTATTAAGACAGCTTCTATCATGTAAGTACTACTTCTATCAACCTGCAGTGCTTTTTTCTTACGTTTTTGCGTAAACAATTCTCAGGAAAATTTATTTATTTATTTATTTATTTAAACACATAAATATGGGTACAAGGAAGCACCAGATAAATATGCGCCTCACAAATCAAATGAGATTTGTGTGAGGGCTGTGATACTGCCCAGGTGCCCAGACTGAAGAAGGTGGTTTTCTTAGGGGGCCACACCCCGAGCCTTTGACCTAAAGGTCTAGTCCACAAGGCAGTGGAGCATCGTGAGGAGATGCAGTCCCATAGTAGCCGGTGACCAACAGTTGGTGCATACGCCATTTGTTCCTTCAGGATACTGGAGCCCATGTTCACCGTTGGTTTGGAATCAGGGTTTTACAACTCCCCTAGGTGGACTCGCCTTGTCCACCAACCCGGTTAAGGCTCCGAACATTCGCTTTCCGTCCTCTCACTTTTGTCAACAATACCCCCGCCACAAGAAGGCAGTGAGTAGGACTTCTCTGAGTCGAGGCTATATATTCGCGTGGCCATATGAGAGCATTTGGAGAGGGAGAGCGGACTCTTCCCACTCTCGGCCGTACCAGGGCATTTGGGGGAAAAGATGAGACCCCAACATATGATATTGACTGGCAGTGTCTTTTGTTAACTGATTGCCTTTTGGAAATGTGAAACACTGAGACGTTATGTTTTTTACCCCAACAAGTGTGATTCGATCTAGTACATACAATTGAACTGCCTCATTATTTCAAACAAACAATTCAACAGATGTGTCCTAGTTTTATAGCATGAGTACATCTTTGGTGAATGTTATATCGCAGTGAAGATTGCATTACGGGTAGCTTCTGAGAACTAATAATGGACTAATATTATATATATATTCTTATTGTATAACTATTCAGTAACTAGATTGTATATATCTATACTTCTCTTATTACAAGCTTAATCTTGATCTATAGACTCAGTTTGTTGTATCTTTAAGTCCGGATAATTATCACGTGATTTGTTCGCCAACCGAAACGTGACTTATACAGTCTTAGTACTGTACCAAATCAATAATGTTCGACCAGTATAAGCAGCCTAGAGTCTTTATTAGTCCTCTGTTCTCATAGAACTTCCAGTTTAGTTCGGGAAGCCAACAATTTTCTCTTATTATCGTCTTACTTTCCCTTTAACACAGGATATATTATATTTTGCTGATATTTGTGCTGGTCCTGGAGGTTTCTCAGAATATACTTTATGGCGACGATGTAATGCTCCATATCATACTCACTCATCAAACACTACACTTAGTCCTAATCATCATTCCAATATCAATGATAAATTACTAGAGGATACCATGGAATCTATCGATCATAACAGTCCTACTAATAATACTAGTACTACTTCAGAGAAACAACAACCATTACTGTCTGCTAAAGGATTTGGTTTAACACTAACTGGTCAATGTGATTTTCGTGAAAATGATTTCTTGGCTGGTCCAAAAGAAGCTTTTATGGCACATTATGGAGCAGAACGTGATGGGGATGTTACAAAATGGTCGAATTTAGCCTCATTCGCATCATTTATTGGTCGTAGTACAAATAATGCCGGTGTACATATTCTAATGGCAGATGGAGTTAGTTCAATGATAAATTTCTTTGTGATGAATGAGAGTGTATTTCAAATCGTGTTCAAAAAATGTTCTTATATGTTTGTCTGTTTACTACTTAACTTTTTAGTTTGACACTGGAATTTTCTTAAGAGAGAAAGTTTTAGACTTGATGTATGGGATGTATGGGATCAATTAAGGGCCAAGTATACTGCTCAGCAGTTCGCTCTGTTCTACTTTACGGCTGTGAAACACGGCCATTAAGAGTAGAAGATACTCGTAAGTTACTAGTATTTGACCACAGATGCCTTAGAAATATTGCTTGCATCTGCTGGGATCACCGGGTAAGTAATAGTGAGGTTAGACACAGGGTATTAGGAAACGATGGTAAATCAGTTGATGAGGTCATGAATCTTCATCGACTGAGACGGTTGGGCCATGTGTTACGTATGCCTGAACACCGATTACCATGACGCGCTATGATGACTAGTGTAGGGGATGGTTGGAAAAGAGTTAGGGGCGGCCAAACCAAGTCGTGGCATCAGTGTTTGAAGTCACTAACTTCTAGTCTGAGCCATGTTGGTAGATGCAGACTACCTGGTTGGGGTCCGCGTGACTATCGTAACCAATGGTTGAAGACTCTAGGTGACATGGCTCAGAATCGATCACATTGGCGTAGGTGCATACACTCTTTATCTTCCCTTAAACCTTGAGATTAAGGTTGCTTCATATCTGTCTTTCTTCCTATACGGTATTCCTATATACAACCTATCTTTTATATTCTACCACCACTAAATTAACTATTTCCATGAATCCGGTGTTCCTCTTGTTGTGCTAACGAGTTATGGCAACTGTGACCGATTCATAAATATGCCTGGTCTGACGTTGTAGCTGACTGACTGACGGAATGGGGTTTACTACATTTTAGGAAGTTTGTATGATTTATCTTTCAGTAATTAACAGAATCTATGATTATAGTCTTATTCACGAAACTTTTAGTTTACTTTCTAGTTTATTATTACATGCAGAGTTATTTTTTTCAGTGTAGACTTCCAACCAGTAGCAGTAGATCGTAGGTCCGAGTGCTGTTTTGGTTTAGTTAGGGATGTAATACCACTAGCCTTCAAATGGGGATGGGTGATATAAGACCGAGTTCATGAAATTATACTTGACAAATAAGTTAGTTCTTTTAATCATTATGTAATTTATTTGGTGTGACTTGATTTTATATTTCAAGTGACCGGTCAGTCACAACGGGGAACCTGTACGTATGGATATCGGTTCAAGTTGTCATACTCCATTAGCACAAAGAAATAAAGTTGTCAGACAAAATCCCACAATAGTAAAGGTAGTAACAGTATCACCGCTAACAGGAAAGATTACGCATCGAAGATACGACTTAAAAATAAAATATAAATTAGTGAAATGAAAATACAGAAAACGTTGTGAGGAATTCCAAAGCTCAGAATTTGGGGAAGACAAAGGATGGATGCACCTGCGCTATTTCAAAGGATTTTCAGCCATGTCATTTCAAGTCTCTTACCATTGGTTATGATAGGTAATTCACACCTAATAACATGACCAAGTCCAATTTCCAGTAACTTTATGAACTGATGCCACGTTTTGGTTTGGCCGGCCCAACCATTCCCAACACTAGTTAGTATTGCGCGTCATGGTAATCGGTGTTCAGACATACGTAACATGTGGCCCAACCATCTCAGTTGTTGAAGATTCACAACCTCATCAACTGATTTACCATCATTCCCTAATACCCTGCATCTAACCTCACTATTACTTACTTGATGATCCCAACAGATGCAAGCAATATTTCTAAGAGATCTGTGGTCGAATACTAGTAACTTACCAATATCTTCTACTCTTGATAGCCACGTTTCTCAGTCGTAAAGTAGAACAGGATGAATTGTTGCACAGTACACTCGTCCTTTTATTATTTTCCACATGACTTTTATTTGGTTATTGTTCCTGTTTGAAATTGTCGCTCAAAGGTGACTGGTTTGTTAGAATAAATCACAGTGACCTATAAACACTTATATTCCTCGTATAGATCTTAGTTATTCGCCTATAGGTTTTTTGTTTTTCTGTTTTAAGTGTACTCCAAATATTAATCGGATTGGTTCGTTGTTCCTAAATTAATTTTTTTATGCAGTTATAGGGTATCGTTGCTGCTTACAGAAAAGTGACTTGTCTCTATAGTTCATATAAAATAGAAAATCTTACATCAACAAGTGTTGTGACTTGTCGGCTGCTAAGAATACCGATAGTATTCTACTTTTACACAGTGGACCTAACGTAACTAGTTGAAATGAACAGCTATTGCTTAATGAAACTTCAACTATAATAACAAGAGGTTAAACTAGACTTTGCAAGTGAACTTTTTGTACCTCGAGAAAAGATGAAAAAAATAATCATGGCTTACATTACTCTTCTACTAACTATGCGAACTGAGGCGTTTATGAAACTTGTGCAAACTCAGGAAATTCATAAGATATTGTTTGGCTTTTAATGAAGGTATTTCATTCAAGAAACTGTCCCTTTTCAAATGAACGAGTTTCAATGAAGATTGTGCATAATTTAATTCTGATGGGGCTTTCAAATGACCGTCAACTTCCCGTTTTGTCAAGAATATTAGACGTTTTCAGTCTCCTTTTTCTAATGACATTGTGTAAGATTGATGGCTAACTGAATAAAGGAAAATCGTTTGTCTACATGATTCTATTAAAATACGAAATGACAAGATGGTTGAAAAGCCTGACCTTTGATGACTCCGACGAATGTTTCGATTAGTAAACACGGAGTTTGGACAAGTGTAGAACCATAAATGAGGAATGTTTTCAAAAAAAATAGAATAAGATCAATCTATCATAAATTTTTATAGTGTCGTCAGTATGTATATATAGTAAACGGAGTAGAATCTGATATTGTACGTAATCCACTACAACGTAGGGTAGCCTAAACAATCATTGTTTTCTTTTTAAGTCAGAGAATAGTTAGTGATTTAAATGAAATGATAGAAATTTAAAATTATTATCAGAAGGTTTTTTTGTTGTGGAGATTTAGTATTTTCATAGTTGAAAGCGTGAGTCAATTGGAGCTAGACCACCAGGGAAAACCTGGAAGCACTGGACGGCCGTTTCGTCTGATTATGGGACTCCTCGGCTGTGCGTATCCACGACCTCTCCTCGCGAGATTCGAACCCAAGACTTACCAGTCACGCGTTAGAGCACTTAACCGATAGACCACTGAGAATTTTGTTTTAATCATAAGTATAGTTAATCACGTATTGAGGAAAATTGCTATAATATTATTAATTATGATATACAACGTACAAGTCAGTATTGATTCAATGGTTTTTCAATTTAAAACAACCTATAGGATAATTGTTTCTTCTTTTTTTTGATTCAGGGTTTCGATGTATCTAGTCAGTATAATCTTCAAGAGGTTATGTCTAAACAATTGTACTTATGTCAGTGTTTATGTGCATTAATCAATCTTAGACCAGGTAGGTAGGTGTATAATGGGAAATCCATTTTGCTTGTATTTCATCTGTTTCATAATATATACATGCTACAGGTACGCTTTGATAATTAGTGCCATTCGAAACGAAATCTAACCTCAGGGTCTCCCTCTGATTACCTTCAATCATCTAACATCTATTCATTGATATATCACTAAATTTTACCAATCTATGTCATCAATATTTCAAAACGCCTTAGAAATTGTTTGATTTTTAGAGTTATTTTGATTCTTTGAATGCTGACGAACTGACTTAAACAAGGTAAGATCTGCTATAAATGCGTATTTTGGTTCAGGGTAGTCCTACTCACTGACTTCTCGTGGCGGGGTGTTGTTTACGAAATTGAGAGGACGAAAAGCGAATGTCCGGCGCTTTAACCGGGTTGGTGGACATGGAAAGTTCACCTAGGGGAGTTGGAAAACCCTGATTCCAAACCAATAGTGCACATGGGCTCCAGGATCCTGAAGGAACAAATAGCGTATGAACCAATTATTTGGTCACCGGTTACCATGGGACTGCATCTCCTCACAATGCTCCACTGCCTTGTGGACTAGACCTTCAGGTCAAAGGCTCGGGGTTTGGCCCCCTAAGGAAATCACCTTCTTCAGTTTGGGCACCTGGGCAGTATCACAGCCTTCACACAAATCAAATGAGATTTGTGTGGTACATATATATCTGGTGCTTCCTTGTACCAATATTGATGTGTTTAAATAAAATAAATAAGTAATCCAAACAAACAATACTAAATGAAGTCACTAAATTAGTCAATGGATAGAATCTAGCCTTTATCCTACAAAGGTGTTAATGTCTAACTTCAACCAATCCACGAAGTTGAGCAACCATTCACCAATGTCTTGAGTGAGTTGATATCCTAACAGACCTGTTTGAACTCCACTGGTTACTACTTCTCATTAGAACTCCCGGAAATACATCATGGAGCCAGGTACTAGTGAGCATATGATCATTGTCAGAAGGGGGTTTTGTGGAGACTTTATTAATTTTATATAGTTGAGTTCATTAACACCGTTGGATCCCGGTTCAGTGGTTTATCGGTTAAGTGCTCTGGCACGAGACTAGTAGGTCCTGGGTTCGAATCTCGCAAGGTGGGATCGTCGATGCGCATTGCTGAGGAGTCCCATAATAGGACGAAACGGCCATCCAGTGCTTCCAAGTTATCCATAGTGGTCTAGCTTTAATTGACTCATGATCTCAATCATTATTAATAATTGATTGTAATATTAAACAATCATATATTTGTTCTTTTTTTATTTTTTTAAAATTACTGATAAATTTAGGTGGACATTTTTTAACAAAATTATTTGATACATTCACTGAATTCACCATTGATATAATTTATATAATGGGTTATTTATTTGAAGAGATTTACATTATAAAACCTGTAACTAGTCGACCAGCTAATTCAGAACGGTTAGTTTAATTTTCATTTGATTCCATTAGACTTTGTTTATTCTTGTTTGCTAAGTAGAATGCAGGATGCAAGTTTCGTCCGATTTAGCATTTATCGGTTGTCAAGTCTTTCTGGATCCTAAGCTAGTCTCGTAACCCTCAAGCTAAATCTACAGAGCGACTTGAACACAAGAGAAAAGGCGCAAAATATGCAAGAAGCACTTTCCTCTAAATGTTCATTTATGTACAGAAAATATAGGGTTTTTATAGTATTTAGGAAGTCCTTGGTTTTTCATGAAAGTTCTGGAATGATACTAAACATAGTAGCAGTGTAGTAATCAGCCAATCAGGAACTCTACATGTGACTTTTCATTTTCGTGATGTTTCTAGAAGAACTTCTAGTCAAACGCTGATTGGATAAAATGTTTCTTAATGTTTCCTGAGCTTGTCATGTCTATTGCGAGGAGTTTTCAGGATCGCCTCAACATCAGTTGAGTTTAATTTTTTTCCATTGTTAGTGATAATCTTATTTGGATTCGAGCTCAGTACTTTTCACCTCAAACGTCAACACACAATCGGTTGAGCTACTGTGTTCAGTTAGCAGCCACTAGCTTTTGCAACGGGTATAGGTTTAGTTCGTAAAGGTTTGTATTTTCCCATTGTTGATATTGAAGATTGTGATTGATCAGTTTCTCTTTTGGCGATTAGCTCAAGACACATATGTCAATAGAAATTGACCATAATCTGTAATAGTCATTTGGTAAAAACTAATAAGTTACAATAATGTTGACATTGTAAGACCTCCTAATTTCCCCCTTTCTACGTATTTGTGGTAGATTGAATTTACTATGGAATTTACTATATTATTTATCAAACTGTTCATTCTATCGGTGATTGTTGTTACTTTCTCTCCTAACCGTCAAGTTATTTAGTATGCAAAAATTTACAATCCCCTTTAAACACAATGGCTGGTTGTTTACCTGCTCCCAAATCATCATCATCATCCATGACAAGTCATTCAGATTCTACTGATCAAAAGTCAAGTTTCCGACAGAAGACACGTAAATTTCCCGGTCAACATCATCAACAACAAACAACCATCACAAATAGTGTTGTTGATGATATGGAAGCCAGTAAAAAGTTTGGCATTCTAACTGATATGAAAGAGTCCGGTTCACTTGGTCTAGTGATCAATCATTTTTTGCAAGTTAATGAAAAGTTAAATCAAATTAAAACAAACCAATCATTATCGTCAACCAATCCTAAATTGGATGTATTAAGAATATGTCATACTGAAATGATTGAACGTGATGATAAATTTATGCAATTTATTCAGGCGATGAATGAAGAGTAAGTTGAATTTTTTGCATGCTTTTCTTACTAGAAAATATATACAAGTTTGTTTATATTTGTCTACGTAATGAGTCTATTCACGGTTCCGTTCACTGTTGTCTGTTGTTTGTTTAATAATAAATTTAGGTCGCGAAAATGTTGCTTTGCCGAGGGTGGGGAGAGTCAGCTCTCTTTCCCAAGTTGCTCCTGCATAGCCACATGTGTACATCGACTGTCAAAGAATTCTTACTCACTGCCTTCTTGAAGCGAAGGCTTCTTTATAAAATCGAGAGGACGAAAAGCGAATGCCCGGTGTTTTGATTGGGTCGGTGTTGGTGGATGCGAAGGATACATTTAGGGCAGTTTGAAAACCCTGATTTCAAAACGATGGTGAACACGGGCCCTTGGATCTTAAGGGAAAATTAGCGTATGAACCTATTGTTGATCACCGGCTACCACGAGACTGTATCACTTAACGTTGCTCCACTGCCTCGTGGATTACGTTGAATAGTATGGCTTTGAACCGGTCATAATGACATAGATACATTCATTGTTTATCTTCTCTTAAGTTTTAAGTTCTAAATTTATCTTGTACTGTTTATTCCGTAAAGTCTATTACTTAAATGATTTGGCAACTTAAGTTGATGCGCATTTATGCCATGTTCTACGTTGCTATTAACTGACTGATTATGAAAAGACTAGTTCCCTAGCAAATATAATTGCTGTAGTGTATTTTCAACCAAACGTTTGACTAAATGTCTCTTGTTTTCTTTTCATTTTCCTTCAGTTTGGCTAAACATCAGTGTGTTGCTTTGTCAAAACTATTAGCATTCTCTCAAAATCATAGTCTTACTGAAACGAGACAAGATGAATTGTATAGAGCATGTTTAGAAAAATGGAAGGTAATTGTGTTATTTTATTTGCTTTGTTGTTGTTGTTGTTGTGTTCCTTGTTCGTGTTTCACAATCTTCATCGGTTTCATCATACGATTTTTATTGATACCTTAAGAACTGTTAGTTAATTCGAGTGTGATGCGAGTTAAGTATGCCAAATTGTTAAACATTTTAGAGATATTTATATTAGACGCTTCATTGGTGCAAAGCATTTTAATCACTTCCCTATCTTAGTCATTCAAACATCGACAACATAAAACCTGGGATGCATACCCCCAAAATGCCCTAGTACGGCCGAGAGTGAGGAGAGTCCGCTCTCCCTCACGAAATACTCTCATATGACCACATGTATATAGCCTCTGCCAGGGAAGCCTTACTCACTGCCTTCTCGAGGCGAAGTCCTGTTGAGAGGACGGAAAGCGAATGCCCGGCGTTTTAACCGGGTTGGTGGACACGGAGAGTCCACCTAGGTGAGTTGGAAAACCCTAAATCCAAACTAATGTTGCACATGGGCTCCAGTATCCTGAAGTAACAAATGGCGTATGAATCAATTGTTGGTCAACGGCTACCGTGATACTATCTACTCACGATGCTCCACTGCCTTGTGGATCAAGAAGACTATCTTTCAAGTTATTTATCTGAGATATGCTTCATGGTTATTGCCTTTGATCGGGCAAGAATATTTAAAATTACGAAAAAATTGATATCTCTTTGAAGCTCACAGAATTTTTGTTAATAGTTTATTCGTTTCACATCATTATTGACTTCACCATAGATCAACGCGAGTAATCACTTTTTTGGTTAGATGATGAAGCAATAGTTTAAGTGATAACTCAGTTTTGATCATTGAGTTTCAATAGCGAACACTGTTTATTCCAGCGTTCACTTATTTGGTTGGTTGCCGGTCAATATATTAAAATGCCCGAATAAGCCACATCTTGTTTTAGGTCTACACATTAGATGATATACAAGTATGGGTAAAGTTTTGTGAATGAGTAAGTGATCATTCTAACCAAGATCACATCCCATATATCTCTGTCTGAGTCAGTTCTTACACCTGTATATATACTTAAGTTGTAGCACTAATCGTTCTGTCTTTTGACTATAAAACCGTTCACTGAATTATTCGTTTGAATCCGACCGTAGAACTGTTACCTCCTTGATCTGTATACCCAATAATATACAGGAGAGAAATTGTCTTGATCTAGATTAAGGTCTTGGCACAATAGGCTAACTAGTCCAACATTGAGGCTGGAAATGCGTGATTTCGAAGTGAGACTAATAGCTTTAGGCTGAGAGACGAAAACTATTCTATCACCTGATTGGTTGACAAGCGAGAGAGTAGACGAGTCAATTGGAACACCTCGATTTATCCCTGATTCAGGTCTATGTAAAAAGACAGAAATAAATAGAAGACCAACACGACCAAGACTCACAAGCAATTAGAAAATAAAATTATGTCCGAATTGGGGGTTAGGGGGGAAAATGGAGTACGAAAGATTATAATAGCTATGAAATAGAAAAGGGTATGGTAGTAAATCATGCATCAAACTAAAGCTTATGGTCTATAAAATAACCTAGGTACAAAACTGTATGTTAATGTTTTACGAACATTGAATTAAGTGATGTTTCCGAAATTCGCTTCTGTTGTTCATCATAGCTTCTTTATTTATCGATTAACAACAAAAACACAACACAGATTAGAAGCTCGTTTCACCTTTTTTTAAATATTGGAAGTTCGAATAGTATCACCAGTCCCTATTTAAAGAAAAGTGATGTAGTTCAAGTAACCTGTACCAGGAAATAAGATTAAGATGTATATCAAATGTTTGTTGTTATTGTTACATAACTTTTCTCTCGTTCTCTATAATTAATTGGGTTTCTTTTTCAAGATTCCAATAACAGAACGTCGACCTATCCCTTGGCCTTTATTATCCACTAATCGTTCAGCAATTATTCGTCGTTTATTAGGTGTAAGTTAATATTGGACAGTTTATATTTATTCTGTTCTCTTTCTTTGCCTTTTGTTTCAGTTCCTACTCGAAAATTGCTTTCTCAGTATTCGCCAGTGTCATAATGAATCAAAAGACAATGTACATAACTTTATAACTCAACGGGATGATTTCATATAAGGACTTTCGTCTAAATTAGAGCGAATAGTTTTACAGTATTTAGACGCCGGTTTGATGTAAGACACTTAATAGCAGTAATATATTTGTAAAATCTCGGCGAATGAATTTGAAGTAAATCCAACGTTTCGTCTGGCGATTTCCTTGAAAAAGCTTGTATCAGATTGCCAGGCGAAACGTTGGATTTAGAGATGATTTTATGTTTTATGCATTAAATGGTTGACTGATAGGGCATTTTAATTCTATCCGTACTCAAGATTATTCTTAACTTCTGAGAATTATAATCCTTTATTAATATCTTGAGTGTCCAATTATCGGGACGATTAGAATAAAATTGTTTCTTTCACACCTTATGATATCATCCAGTCAGGTCGGTTGAGTAAAGATAAAACTATGAACAACATGTGTCAGGTCTAGAATCGAAATTATTCCATAAATAACGGGCACTTCTAACAATAATGCCCTTCTTGAGACAGTTGTTTGTTAGGATAGGTCAGTATTGAGAAAGTGAATACTCTTCACTGTTCTATTAGACTGCTTACGTCAGGTAACTGTAAGGTGATCGATATTTGTTACTATTCTAATCGATCTTTTGTATGTGAGTAAACATAGTCGCTGGAGGCATTGTTTATCTGTGGAACTTGCATCTCGACCACTACATCGTGGTGTATTAAGCAATACAAATTCACTTTAAAACCTAAGACTTTCTGCTTTTCTTCTACATTTATTTAAATGTTCTTTCTAATGTGATAGGATCTTAGTGAACACGTTTTTAGTCAAGTAAGCTCGATCGAACCTTTAAAACAGTTGAATTTCATCATTACAAATGGACTAAATGAAGGATGTAACGATACTAATTTAATAGAATAGTACATCTCACTAAAAGCCTACAGATGTTTGCATCATTTGAGTAGGGGTTATGCTTCTCCCATAAGAAACTAATGATACTATCAGCGTGTGTAAACCGAAATAAGTGAGACTGTATTCGAATCAGTTACTTATACATTTTATACATTAACACCGTTGGATGCCGGCTCAGTGGCCTATCGGTTGAGGGCTCCGGCTCGAGACTGGTAGGTCCTGGGTTCGAATCTCGCTCGCGAGGGGGGGTCGTGGATGCGCACTGTTGAGGAATCCCGTAATAGGACGAAACGGCCGTCCAATGCTTCGAGGTTATCCATGGTGTTCTAGCTTCAATTGACTCACGCATTCAAATACGAAAATACTTATACATTTGTCAATCACATAATATGGTCGCTCCAATGTTGAAAAGTGACTTCAACTAGTTACTTATTCGAAGATATACAAAATATATTATCCGTTAGTATATTAACATCTACTTGTTTCTTTACAGGATAGTGAAAATTTCACATCACTCAATGCGTTACCATCAGATTATCGTCCAAATATACGTCTTACACCGTTTACTAATGCAAATATAAATAATTTAGATATTTTATATCATAGTCGAATTGCTTTAGTATGCGGTAATCCATCGATTACGTCAACTTCTGAACCAGCTCAACCAATGTTCATTTATTCACATGGATCTGCAGTTACGGTAGGTAAATTGAATATACCTGTCTCAACTACCAGAGTTTTTGTTCTATTTTTTCCCAATCCATTCTATTTTGATGCTTCTTACCAGTTAGTCAGTCACAACGTAGAACTTCGTATGTACGTACGTATATCAGTTCGAGTTGTGATACTACATAAGCACAGAGATGCAGTTGTCGATTCAAATCCCATAGTGATAGATGTAGTAAGAGTATAAGCAGCAATCGGAAAGATTAGGGTTTGAAGATGTTACTGAAGGAGTATAATACAGAGAAATAAATTTGGAAAGAGAAAACAGATAGAGACGTGAAGAATTCAGTAGATTAGAATTTGGTAGAACACAAAGAGTGTATGCACCTTCGTCATTGCAAACGATTTTGATCCATGTCATTCAAGGTCTCTCACCATCGGTTGTTATCATCTCGCGGATTCCAATCGGGTAGTCTACACCTACCAACATGGATCAGTCCACTTGTCTGTGACTTCATGGATTTGTGCCACGTTTTGGTCTGGCCGCCTCTAGCTTTCTACCAACCTACTCCTACACCATAAAACACTGCACGTTGGGGCAGTCGGTGGTTGGGTATACGTAACACGTGTCCCAGCCATCTTACCTGATGAAGTTTCACTACTACATCCTTACCTAGTACCCGTTCCCCAACAACTGCATTACTTACTCTGTGGTCCCAGGATATACGAGCAATGAGTCGAAGACACCTATGATCGAATACTAGTAGCCTACGAATATCCTCTACTCTTATCGGCCATGTTTCACTCCCATAAAGTAGGACGGAACGAACTGCTTCGCAGTCAACGCGTCCTTTGTTTGATAGATGGATATCTCGCCTACGCCATAAATGACGCAAGTTGACGAAAGCTAGACGAGCCTTCTTTATCCGTGCAGAGATTTCGTCACACACCAGACTACAAGGGCTGATGAGACTCCCAAGATAAGTGAAGCCGTCAACACGCTTAACTACTTCACTGCCTTTCATTTGTTCAGGCGCTGATGCAACGCAATCCGGGCGTAATATTTTGCGCTTCAAGGGGGAGAATCGCATCCTGATAATGCCTGCATTGTTGCTTATAGTAATCAGAAAACTGCATTTTGTCAGCGTCTTCACATACAAACACAATTCAGTCTATATTATAATACTATTTTGAGTTATAATAAATATATGGATTTTCAGATGATAAAATGATGAAGTAATTACAAGTACTTAATTCTGCTACTGATAATGCCTGACAACTGTCTAGTTCTACTTTAAGACTTCTCAGTTGTACATATTCATCATCTTGGATCCTATTTATTGAACATATACTTACTACTGGCTAAGTTCCAAAGTCCTGATAAGAAAGGTTAGTTGAAGAGGGTTGTATAACTACATCTGGGAGTAGAATAGCTCCATGATCTTAGCTAAATTTTTCATTATATTATGAATTGATTGAATTACACTGTTAGATCTCACTTCAATGCTCTCAAAGTATTGTCTTCATCGGAAGATCTAAGACTCTTGGATTGGACCTAATGAGAGATTATGAATTGTGCAATGCTAAGGTGTGGTCCCAAACTATGATTAGTAAATTTTCACGATCTCTTAAGTTTTTAATCTTTCCGTTAGCCGTTGAAAATTATTCAAAATAGGATTCATAATCTTTGGAAAGACTAAAAGTACTTTGATCAATCTGTGTTGAATGGAGACTTTGCATAAACTTCTAGAAAGGCGATGAATTTTGGATAATTAACTTTTGTCAGTCGTGGAAATAAGAGTTATTAGGTGTAGGAAGGTTTTGAAAGTGACCAACTTGGTCTTGTGTGCTGTTACGGGTATGAGGGCTAGTATCACGTCCCGGCTGCCCACACCGTGGAAGGGTATTCCTTGAAGGACTCGAAAAGGAAGTTGGATTAGTGTTGGTCTTAACGACCTGGGAACGTGACCGCAGTACCCAAGGGACAGCTACTTGAGGTCGGTCACGCACGGCCTTTTTGTGGGGAATTTTCGATGTGTTAGCTCCGTTCTTTAAAGGACTATACCGCCGGAGACGGGTAGCCGTGGGATAAGGCGAGGTGTGCATTTTTAGGGTCGACCTTTTCTAACGCCACCCCTCCTTGTGGGATAGGCAAGCCCGACCACCACGTCAAGGTAGCAGCAACGGTCGGGAACGTTTGTGCTACTAAATTTATTGTTCTAAGAACCTTTCAAAATACCAAGGGCACCCATATATCTTGCAAATAATTTTGTTATTTGTACATAACTCAATTTTGAAAGGAGAGCCTATACATACTTCTCCCCTCTCTCTCTCCCGTTTGGACTTCAGGAATAGAAGTGTTCTTGGGAAGATAGGAAGCAATTAGGAATAAAGCTTTTGAGTACCAGACTTATCAATCAAACTTAAACTGAAAAATTCCTACAAATCCCCATCTTTACACTTTGATTTTTTAAACTTATATATATATCACTAATAATATGTTATCTAATCATTTATATTCTAAGATTAATTGCGTATATTTATTCTGTTTTGTAATTGTGTTAGGATACATATTGTACTGTAGATGGTGATCAATGGAACAGATTAGATCAAATGATACCTAGACTTAATCCACGACTTCCACCAAGCACCTTAATTTGGGGTCAACCATTTTATGAATATGCTGTAAAGGTACTTACTTACTTACTTACTTACTTACTTTCGCCTGTTACTCCCAATGGAGCATAGGCCGCCGACCAGCTTTTCGAAAAAAAATAATTGCACTTATGGTTTGTTTATAATTTCAGTTTCTTTGTGTTACAATTCGGTAAAGAAGTACACATTTGTTTCCTATACTTTAAATGATTCTTTTTGATATCGTACAGTATGGGAGATGATGGAGAAACACAACTTGAATCTGAAGTACGCTTAACAGCTAGGATGAAGACGGGATAGTTGTTTCATTCTAATATAAAACTCTTCAGGAGCGCTCACCCTAGTCCCCTGTTGTCAGTTTGAGCCTTATCAAATGCATGAAGCACTATAATTATGATTAGTGGTTGAAAGCCTTGGGTGTTGTATGGTGTAATATTAGTCCCAGTGACACCGTTACATTTATTCTCTCTCTCTCTGTCTTCCGATGAACAAACAAAAATTATCAATATAGTACACTTGGTGCATAGGGGTACAGGGATGGAGTGAGTGGTTGGCCTAGTTGTTATTATGTTCTAGTTTCAGCATAGGTTCAAACCACACTCCACTTATTTCTGTTTGGGCAAACGCGTAGTATCATTAGAACTCACATATTCAATTACCTGGGGAATGAGTTAACTCAGTTTAATTTAATGGAATTATAATTGATTGATTCACAAATATAATCGAATTCTATATGAAATTATTCCTAAGATTTACAATAATAACCATCTACTCATGGTTCCTTAAAATCACAAAACTGTCTAATCTTGGAATATTTCGATTAAAAAGTTACTTTGAAAGTGATGAAGCGAATAGCAACAGTCAACACTTCGTACTGATCCTGGTATGGTCGAGAGTGAGGATAGTCCGCTCTCCCTCTCGAAATGCTCTCACATGAACACGCGTATGCAGCAGCTGACAAAGAAGTCCTACTCACTGTCTTCTCGTGACGGAAGTGTTGTTTACGAAATTGAGAGGACGAAAAGCGAATATCCGACGCTTTAACCGGGTTGGTGGACACGGAGAGTCCACCTAGGGGAGTTGGAAAACTCTGACTCCAAACAAATGGCGTATTGCTGGTCACTGGCTACCATGGGACTGCATTTCCTCACGATGCCCCACTGTCTTGTGGGTTAGACGTTTAGGTCAAAGGATCGAGGTGTGGCCTTCTAAGGAAACCACCTGCTTCGGTTTGGGCACCTGAGCAGTATCACAGCCCTCACATATGCATCTGTTGCTCTCTTATACCAATATTTATGTGTTTAAATAAATAAATAAACATATTCAGTATAAAGCTGGTCGAATCATTGAGCCAGTCAATAAAAATGTAGACAGTTTATAATCGGACAGTTATTTACTAACAGCATTGGATGATGATTGCGTAATATATTAGACTAATTAAAGTCAAAACTGTTAACCATTGAATATAATGTCAATGATCTTACGGTTTGGACGCTATCTACTAGACCTGCAGTTTCTGATCTCGACATATCCTTGGCAAAATCGTTGTTGCGCACTGCTGAGGATTTTCATAGCAGGATGAAACAGCTGTCCAATACTTCCTGATTCTCAATAACTGTCTGACTAAGGTCAGTTTGTGTATGTGAACTATAAGTACTTGCAGTCAATCAATGCAATATGTGCAACAGTCGGCTAGTTGTATATCATGGACGTCCGATGGATTATAATCTACAGTTGGTTAATGAATTAAAATTAATTAGTTTGGAGAAAAAAAAACAAATTTCCGAAGGATTTTCTTCAACAATACCTGTCCTTCGTCTATATTATGAATTGATGCTGATCCTTTGATCTCTTAAAAATACCATCAACAATGATTTGTCAGGAACTGTGATACTCTGCGATTTACTTAATTCATTAATAACAATTATTATTAAGTTCTTCATAATTCTATATCTGTTTAGTCAGTTGCATCTAATCAAAAACTGACTTTTACCGGTTAAATCCGTTTTCATTAAAGTTAGTCATAAACTACTATACGTCTAGTAACAAGAGTGTGTGTATGTATCGTTCATTTCATGTGATAATAAATTATGCTTGTAACTTTCGTTATTATGTGTGTTAAAAGTCTTAAAAGCCTTTTTTTGTATTGCTCTCTGGATCTTTATAGAATGGTTTACGAAAACACGGTTTATTTATATATGATGTTGTGTGCATCTACGGTCGAGATTGTCGTAAATTACCATACAGGAAGAGGTAATTAGATGTTGCTTTTGTGTTTATTTCACTCATTGATTTAAGATATAATCGTTGAATATACTCATATCTAATACTGTTGAGACAACTTCTTTAGATATACAACTTCTACCTACTTAACTATTTTAGATGTCCAGTTGTTTCTATTATATACAGAAGTAGTAAGTTGACGAGAGTCTAGAACCACTGACAATTAGTTGTGTTTTATCAATGAATGAAGTTATTTCGAGGTGTGTTGAGGATGTCCTGATATTCTTTGGCGAATATCTACTTTGCTACTTGAAATATCCGCTGTAGGAGATGATTCTTTTGCAGCGGTGCGGAATTGTTCATTGTTTATCTTTATCTATTTGGTTTTTTGTAATTATTTTTGATGTGGACCGCGAAACAAGAAGCCGTAACAAACTACGAAAGCTATTTTTGAGGACGTTATTTTAGTTAATTCAAAGCTTGTAAAAACTGTAACATTTACTTTTGTGCCTAGTCTATTCTACAGATCATATGCTTTCGTTTGATGTACGATTCACTGCCATAACATTTTCTGTTCCAAAGCTATTGTAATTTAGACGTAATCTTTTGTACTCTATTTTCTACTCTATTCTCCCCAGTTTTGGACATAATTATATTTTCCTAATTATTGTACGTTGTGGTCAGGTTATTCATCTATTTATTCAAGTAACCTTTCATCCTAATCTCAATTGGGAATTCGAGTGCTAGATCGGGATTGGAATAAAGTGATTAGTGTTGCAGTTGTCCTTGTCTTCTTTCTCGCGCGCTTGCTTGCCAGCCAATCAGGGATAGAATAGTTTTCGTCTCTCTACCCCCACTTCGAACTCACTCATACTAGCCTCGAGATTAAGCCAGTCAGCCTATCGCGTCAAGGTCTTAATCTACATTAAAGAAGTTATACTCGGCACTAAAGTGGGTAGACAGATTCAAGCACGTGACGATTTTTCATTCTCTGAAATCATTTACTCATCCATTTACAGATTATATTCTTTTCTTTGTTTATGTATCTACTCTTTTTGTTTTTATCTTGTTGCCATCGTCTCTCACTGTTTTGGAAACAGACTCATAAGAACAATGTCAGATTCGATACTGTTTACGATTAATTAACTGATCAATCCACAAACCAATATGTTACTGGATTTTAGTCATCAAATATTTCTGGAACTTGTGATTGTCATTTAGTCTTGAAAGTTAAATGTATTAGTGTCCAATGTATTTTTAAGTTTCAATTGACGAGTTCTCATTGTTACGCAATTATGTGAACGAAATTACAAGTCTATACATGTTTATTATTGATCAGTCCATGGTGTTATAGATTGTTGAGGTCCTGTTGATAGACAGACCATCTGATTGCGTTTCACACTATCACTGTAACGTGATGTCGGAGACGTTAGATAATATGACTCAGAATCAGTTACAATAATGAAGATAAATTCAATCCTTGCTTCCACTTAGGTCCCTGAATTTTATGGTTATCTTATGCTTTTTTCAATCTAGGAATTTATCCTTCTGGAATCATATCGTCTATACTCAGATTTTTCTATTAATACCACTGATTGTGTGTGATGCGTCTTACCGATTGAACGCTATATTCGGGTCCTAAGCTAGTTTCGTAGTCCCCAAGCTAGAACTACACAGCGTCTTGAATGTGAGAGAAAAGGCGCAAAATATACGAGAAGCACTTTACTCCAAAGGTTCATTTATGTACAGAAAATATAGGATTTTTATGGTAATTTAAAAGTCCTTGGGTTTCACTGGAAATTCTAGAATACTACTAAACATAGTAGCAGTGTAATAATCAACCAATCAGAACCTCTACATATGACTTTTCATTTTCACGATATTTCTAGCTAAACTTCCAATCAAACACTGATTGGATAAAATGTTTCTTACAATTTCCTGAGCTTGTCATGTCGATTGCGAAAAATTTGCAGGATCATCTCAACAGTGTGACTATTTCTACTATGGCATTTGTTTTTATAATTTCACTGTACTGTTCTCATATAAATAGTATGGTAACATGTACCGATCCATATACATTTACTAGGTTTTACTACGTATTGATGTACAGCAAACATACTTAATAAATGATAACTTTATTTACAACATCGATGTTTATGATTCCTTTCTTCTTCTTCTTCTCCTTCTCTCAACATACGTTTTCTTTGTTAGAATGGAACTAGCTGAACAAATGACCAATATAATTAATTTTCCAGATATGACTTCATCCAACGTTCGTGTACCACCATTTCTAAGATTATCAGAACTAGTTAATTATGTAAAAAAGTAAGTTGTATAATTTTTGTCCGCTTCTTCTTCTTATTTTAAAATGTAATTACATGTTTATAAAAGCCTTTGTATATTATATATGTATTACTCTATGAATGTCAAACTTTATGTATGAAAGTAGACAATATGGCTGAGATGCGAAATTCTAGTCGTAGATATATGTTCGAACCATTGCTAGGGTTCTGGTCTATCGGTTAACGGCTCTCGCTCGAGACTGGTAGGTACTGGGTTCGATTCTCGCGAGTGCGGAATCGTGGATGCGCACTGTTGAGAAGTCCCGTAATAGGACGAAACGGCCGTCCAGTGCTTCCAGGTTTTTTCCATGTTGGTCTAGCTTCAATGGACTCATGATCTCAACTGTATAAAATTACTGAATTCTCCACCAAACCCCCTCTCATTACTAGGGTATTGTGTGTGATGATAACCAGATGAGAAACACTAAGGTTAAACATACGGTATTCTGCAGAAATGATAAATTTATCAATGAAACTGCAAAATCTTCGTCAAATATCATACTAACTGAACATTTTAATGTCATCTTGTTTTGCTAACGAGGTATGGCAACTTAGGCCGATGCATAAATGTGCCTGGTCCTACGTTGTAGCTGACTGACTGACTGACTGAGGTATAAATAGTTTTATGGAGACTGCAATTGCATTTGAAACAGTGGATACTACTTACACTGACATAAGTAGATTAAACTGATGAGTCGTAAATATAGAAAGTTCACTCCCAAATATAGTCAGAAAATATAATCTTTTGAAATTCTGAAAGCGTTCAGAAATTATGTTAATGTCAACAAACATTTACGCTTTTCGGTAATCAGTTCAGAAATAAAATTAAAATGAAGAGAGTTTCGTCGTCGTTTCTTTTCTGAAGAAAGATCTTCAGTGATATTTGTCGCTTAAATAGATCTCCATTCCATTCCGTGTAGAATTTTAAGTTTAAACACATGTGTACTATATATAACGTTGCTTATGACTAACCGTCCAGAGATTTGAGGATTGATGAGTTTCTTCATCATGGGTCAATACACCACTAATCCAGGAGCACCGCTGAATAAAAATTCCCATCCTAGGTAACTTCATCCGAACGAACATGTAAACCTGATCAAATTAAATACTTAGTTTTTCAGAGAGGTGTTACCTTGGAGGTGTCCCATATTCTCAATCACTCTTTCTTTCATTTCATCCGCTAGTAGTTATCTCACAGCCTCATAAGGAGTGATCTGTCACGTTTTCTCGTATATATAGCATAAAAATGTTTGTGACAAGTATTTTATTTATTCATTTATGTATTTAAGCACATAAATATTGGTACAAGGCAGCACCAGATATATTTGCACTACACAAAAATTTTCATTTCATGTAATTGTGTGAGTTCTATGATACTTCCCAGGTGCCCAAACGGAAACAGGTGGTTTTCTTAGGGTGCTACACCCGGAGTCTTTGACCTAAATGTTTAATCCACAAGACAGTGGAGCATCGTGAGGAGATGCAGTCTCAAGTAAATTAGAAATCATGAGATACCCAGTTAAAATGCATTGCATATACAGTATCATCAATGTTGATGTGATGTTAATGAGACAGTCGAAATAATCTACAACATTCCATTCGTAATGTGTTTACATACTCAATAAAATTTGTTAAAAGGATAGAGATATAATCATGAATCGAATGTTTTATTGCAGATCAAGAACACTTATACATACTTCCAATGTTCCATAAAGTTCTGTAACTATTCTAGTTCATCCTTATTCAAGTCAATTATCGTGATATCTATTTTTAAAATGTATTCATATATCTGTGTACTGTGCCTGGTCGTACGTTGTAGCTGACTGACTGACTGTAACTAGTTTCAAGTCTATTCTTGTCTTCATTATTCAACATCATCTCACCTAAGCATTTTATCATTCGGGAATTACAAAATTAAGTTACCTAAGTAATGCCCCCAAATGCCCTGATGCGATCGAGAATGGGGAGGAACCGCCCTCTCTCTCTCGAAACTCTCTCACACGGCCACACATGAACAGCCTCTGCCAGAGAGGTCATACTAACTGCCTTCTCGTGGCACCGATGTTATTAACGAAATTGAGAGAACGGAAAACTAATGTCCGGCGCTTTAACCGGGTTAGTGTACACAGAACGTTTACCTAGGGGAGTTGGAAAACCCTCGTTCCAAACCTATGGTACACATGGGCTCCAGTATCCTGAGGGAACAAATGGCGTATGAACTAATCGTTGGTCACCGACTACCACGGGACTGCATCTCCTCATGATGTTCCACTGCCTTGTGGATCAGACCTCTCGGTCGAAGGCTCTGAGTGTGGTCCCTTAAGAGAACCATCTACTTTGGTTTTGGCAACCGGGCAGTATCACAGCTCTCACACAAATCGAATGAGCTTTGTGCGGCCATAAATTTGTATTCTATAGTCACTCCCCCCAATTTTCGTTTGTTTTATTACTTATTGAGAGGAATTATGGTGCTACATTTTCTAAGTATATGTGTTTTATTAGCACCATGTATATGTATATATACATATATATTCTGTTCAATTGTTTTTTTTTATTTGTTCCCTATTATAGACTACCTCTTCTACCATGTAAAGATTCACCAACACTTGTGCCAATGCATTGTTTACCCGACGGTTTTACATTCCAACCACATTCGTTGCTACTAGTACAACATATGACAGGTATGTAGGATATTAACAATTGGTTTGGGTTATGATTACTGCACTGATCTACCACAAACTCATTCGCTTACCATGTTTCCGTTGTCTCTCTGTTGACTATTTTATTGAATTATGTTTTTTGTTTTGTTATGCCATGTTTTTACAGTTGCTTGTCAATCTTTTGGCTATCATTTTCATTTTAAAGCTGATTCTTATCAAAGACTTGATATTAGGCTGAAAGAAATTCGCTGTAAACTCAAAAATGTTCTAGATAGGTAGTTCGTGTAGTTTAACTACTTATTCACAGTACTAAATCATGATCCCATATGATAAGTGTGTAATATGCAACTTTGTATATATGTTTATCAATCTGTAAATTGTCACAATACAACACCACAGTCAGATGAATACCTAAGTAATCTTGGTAGTAGCTGTGTTAGCTAAAAAGCTCTATGGATGAAGAATATGATTTGTGAAGAACGAGTGAATCCACGAAATAAAGTGATAAAAGGATCTTGAAAATCATGATTTAAAGTAAAATGAATAGTGAAAACATCTGGACCATTGCAATTGATTCTGAGCTCTCAACCCAACATCTCTTACCATCGGTTGCGATAATCGTCTAAATCCCAAGTAGGTTATCTGGGTAATTTTCCTCCTTTTTATTTGCTACTCTCCCCATTCCTCTTCCTTCTAGTGATTGAATGGATTATGAAGAATTCGCCATCTGAAAGGAAATACGGAATACAATGGACTTCTCAGAATCAATTAGACTATTTGGACTTCGCAGATGACCTAGCCCTCCCCACTCATACACACGAACAAATGCAGATGAAGACAGCAAATGTAGCAGCAGCCTCCTCATCGATAGGCCTTCACATTCACAAAGGAAAAAGCTAGATTCTCAAATGCAACACGGAGAACACCAACCCAATCACACTTGATGGCGAAACTCTGGAAGAGGTGGAAACATTCACGTATCCGGGGAGCATCGTTGATAAACAAGGAGGATCGGATGCAGATGTAAAGACGAGGATTGGCAAAGCAAGGGCAGCATTTCTACAATTGAAGAACATATGGAACTCAAAACAACTCTCAACCAATTTCAAGGTCAGAATCTTTAATACGAACGTCAAGACATGGAGCTGAAACGTGGAGAACTACTACGGCCATCATCAGGAAGGTACAAGTATTTATAAATAGTTGTCTACGCAAAATACTCAACATCCATTGGCTGGATACTATCAGCAACAGCGTTTTATGGGAGAGGACAAACCAGCTTCCAGCTGAAGAGAAAATTAGGAAAAGACGTTGGAAGTGGATCGGACATACATTAAGGAAATCACCAATGTGCATCACGACTCAATCCCTAACTTGGAATCCGGAAGGGAAGAGGAAAAGAGGAAGCCCGAAGAACACACTGGGCCGAGAAATAGAAGCAGATATGAAAAGGATGAGTGTTAACTGGAAAGAACTGGAAAGGAAGGTTTGTGACAGAGTTGGATGGAGAATGCTGGTGAGCCGCCTATGCTCCTCGACGAGGGGTGACAGGCGTAAGTAAGTAAGTAAGATTTGCTTCAACCTTACTTCTGCATAGTGAAAAATCTTGAAGTGACAACGGCCATCATGCCTTTATCAGCACCCAAGATCATCTTGTTGACGATCGAAACCCTGCATCATGTCTTAATAATTCTTCCGCCCCCACGACTTACCCTTCTCATTTATCTTTATCATCACACGCTACCAATGCTAATGTGTTAGGTTCACAAAATGTTATATTCGGTCTCCTGACACTACGTTCTAAACTACATGTTGGAGCTTTCAGTGTTCGAATCTGGTATCAGAAATAAAAAGAGGCTTCTTTAACTAGGATTCCAGTATCCCGCGCCATCAATGTTTGCTGCCTCTCCGAATCGCGCATACATGACTAAAGTACGATCATTCATTTGAATCCATTTTTTCAATATGAAGAACTGATATTGGTTACACTTCTAGTATCTGGAGACCCTACTATTACTTCCCGTGATCTTTTTGGTGTAGGTAGGCACCAAGTTCTAAATCAGTACAGGCTCTGTTAAAGTGGACTCCAATAAACAGTCGCCTGTACGCTGCTCGACGAAACGTGACAGTAGGAACTGGAAAAGATAGGTACATACGTCGTTGCATTTTCGTTGTCTCTAATTACGCTTCCACTGATTGCGACTCTGATGAACTTTATAGGAAGCTATCCAACATTCTTCAGAAAGCTAAACGCTCTGACAGGATCTCACAGTATTGAAGATTAAAGAACAGATAAGGTTGAGTATTTGTTGTGCTGATGTTCAGACCAATGTCTAAGTCTGTCAAACAGGAACTTTGAGCATAAGGGAAAATATCGTCTGATATGTCGAACTTCACAACAGACATATCGAAGGACTCAAATAAATCACATTGTCATCAGCTATTGTTGGAGGCGTTGGATTTAAAATTGTCGCTCGTTCTGAAGCACATGTTTACACTCGGATCATGTTCTAGTTCGAGTTGGACTATTATTCACTTTTAAACCAGGAAATTGAGCGGATCGGCGGAACACTGTAGGGAACGAATAATAATAATAATAATAATATAATATATTCTGATAATAATATTTACAGAATTCACACCAGTTTACAGGCATGATCAGATTGTTATAAAAATCAAAATTTAATGTAGAGAACAAACATGAAATATAAGAAAGTTTTATGTTTGCTGGTTTAGTAATTGATAAATAGTTTAAATATGGCATATGTCACGGCAAGCCAAAACAACAACAGGAAACTTGTCATTTTTTTTATTAAGTGGATAGCCTGATGATTAATCAACGTTGTTCTGTAAGGTTATTTCCAGTACCAGAGCGAGTTATTATTAATTATCTACAACTAGAGAAAGTAAGATTAAAGCAAAGAGCACGGAACACCAAAACAATGATAGCAAGTAAGAGGTTAAACATTTAAAGTTCCTATAATCTCACTTGTGGAGTAAGATGCAATTGCAGGCGCTAGAGCATTTAATGAAATTTCAGAGGAGCAAAAGGCATTAGTTGAGCGAACAAACAATGGGAGAGAGTTTAACATACGGATAGTTTGAGGTAAATTATTCCAGAGCCTAGAAAACTTACAGGTAAAGTAATTCATATAGAGAGAAGATCTAGAATATGTTTGTTTCGCTAAAGACAAGGAGTTACGAATGTCGTAATGTGAGGCCTTAGCATATTGAATCGCCTGACTGGATGTGAAGGAGAGTTTGTTAAGTATTTTGAAAAAGAAGATAAGGTTAAGTTTGAGTCTCCTCATCCATGAAGGGTCAAGCCCTAGTTTACTACACCTAGAATTATATGTCAAGACACTATCAGGTCCAAGAGTACGAAGTGTAAATCGTCTCTGTACTGATTCCAGTCTTAATTTATCCTTTATGCGCGTGCTACTAAGGAGAAACGCGCAGTATTCGAGGAGTGGTCGAACACAGACTTTGTACATTAGAATACGAGATTCGCTGTTATGAAGGTTTCGAGTTATGAAACCTATAAGACGTTGAGACTTGGACGTTTGTCTCATTATGTGTTCAGTAAACGACAAGTCGTCGGAGTACATAAGTCCTAGATCTACTACTGTGTGTAACCTAGATAACATTTCCCCATTTATGGTAAGATTAAGGTTGAGTGCTGTATCACCGAAGCATAGCCAACCACATTTAGCTGTATTGAGCTCCAGTTGCCATTTCGGGCACCACTGTGCTACCTTGTTAAGCTCCGAGCTGATACAATTTTGAATATTGCTCAGCTCATGTGAAGAAAATGAGTACTCCACCTTAAGATCGTCTGCAAACAGAAGGGACTTACCCACACTAAAACACTCACAAATATCATTAATGAAAACTAAAAAGAGCAAAGGACCTAAGACACTACCCTGAATTATCCCACTTCTAACAGGGACTGCGTTCGACAATGAAGAGTTGATTTTAACTATTTGATGTCGATTGCTGAGGAAGGAATCAAACCAGACTAGTAACGGGTTTTGGACCCCATTAGATGCGAGTTTACCTATGAGAAGTTGGTGGTTGACCATGTCGAAGGCCTTAGAAATGTCCAGGTATAGCACTAATACTAGATATCCTTGGCTACAAAGCGAATAGACTAAATTAAAGAAGTCAAAATGACATGTCGTACAAGATCGATTTTTAAGAAATCCATGTTGCGAATCATCAATAAATTGTTCAGTCAATAAATAGTTGGATAGTTTGTCACTAATAATTTTTTCCATAATCCTAGAGATAACTGGAGTAATATTTATTGGCGGATAGTTGTTCATGTCAGTCTTATCTCGGGATTTGTAACGTGGTATGATGTACGCGGTTTTCCAATGGTTAGGATAAGAGCCTGATTCCATAGAGAGGGTAAACAGTTTGAGGAGAAGAAGTGGAATATCTGGACCACCATATCTGTAGAGAAATGATGGTATATATAATTCGTGATGTTTACTAATCCTGTAAGTCTTAATTGGTGCACAGGAGTCTAAACAAGAGTTAACAATTAAATAGAATATGTTGATGGCATCTGTGAGACTATTACATGAGAAGAATTCATCCCAGTCTGAGAGTTTGATCAGTGAGCGCAAGAGGTCTCAGTCTGCATGCTTATAGTCTCTATAATAGCAGGTTCTTTGAATTGTTCGGTTGTAAGAGGGATAGATAGGGAGAGCACAAGCTACTATCCTATGATCACTGCTTTCAAACTCGTTGTATAATTGTACAGATAGGGGAGTATAATAATATTTGTAATATCCTAATGAGTAGAAAAATTAGATTTCCTGGGATATTACAAATATATTTTTTCTCATTTATAACAATCTACCTAATGCTCATTTTTTCGAAATTATCAAGTCAAACCTTGGTAATAATACATAAGTTAATGGACAGTTCAATTGGCCTTCGAACACACTTCAGTTACCTTTTATTTTCAAGAGACCTGAGCTTCAAAATCCCCTACAACATTATTGTGTTATTATTTCACTCGTTTATATTTTATTTTCGAGTCGTATCTTCAATGCGTAATCTTTCCTATAAGCAGCGATACTGTTACTACCTCTACTATCGTGAGACTTGGCCTAACAACTTCATTTCTTTGTGCTGATGGAGTATGAGAACTTGACCCGTTGTGACTGACTGACTGAATTCAATGATAGGAAAGAAAGTAGATTGTTTTTCCGCACTCGAGTTGTTTTTCTAAGATACCGATGAATAGTTGTGGATAAATACTACCTTTTATGTTACACATTCGCTCTAAAAAGACTACACGAATGTATAGAAGTAAAATGTCAACTACAATTTTTTCTGTCCCAAAGTATTTATAAAGGAATATGCCTCATCTTGAACCGGTTTCATTATATGTTTTACATCAGGTGACTTTTTACATGATCTAAATAGCATCATCATGTTTTGCTTAATTATTGTTCACTTATTAATGAAACTTGACATTTCTATTTGTTTTTGTTTGCTTACAGATAATTGGACTGAAGAGATTAGTCGGAGTACTGGAAAATTGTATTACTTCAACCGATTGAAATCTGAATCTACTTTCGATTTACCAGAAAGTGAACACTTATCATTCACGTGAGTACACTGTTGTGATTACTTAGCTCAGTAATATAACCCAGAGCAATTACAAAGTACCAATTGGTACAGTCTGGGTCTTTCAAGTACTCTATTTTCATTGTCTAAGGGAAGATGGGTTTGAACTGTCGATCGAGTGGTTGAAAGTTGCTTGCCTTAATAACATCAATTGTCTCATTTACGTGCTACTTTGATAGTGGTTACAGCGTCAGTTTTTCGACAATTATGTGGCATATGTTTGATTACCTAGGTATTTATCGTTGCTGTTCACACTTGAAGTGTGACGTAAAGACAAGAAATATAAATAGGTTTCTTGGTTTTGAAGGATTCCAGCTTCGAAATATTTCACTACATAAGTGCCTTTAGACTATGTTCTCTAAAGCTCTGATTCGATTGATGGTGGAAAAAGTCTCCACTCTTCCAATCAAATGGTTCGTATCTAGCTGCTCGTTTATAGCATCTTCGAGGGATGTCTTACTAACAACGCGAAGCGTACTACGTCTTACTACTTTGCAAAGATAAGATGAAACCAGAGGTTTCACCCTTTAATTGGGTTGGTGGCTGCGGAGATTTCACCTACAGGATTTGTAGGAAACTGGTTTGAAACTAATGGTCTTTATGAGTTTCAACATTTTTAACAAACAAATGTACGATTCTTTTTTGGTCACCAGATACCATAAGACAGAGGTTGCTTCATTGTTTTTTGGATTGAACGCTTTTGTCGAAAACTCTTTTAGTATCGTCAAAGCAAATCACTTGCCTTGGCTTACGTGCCTAAGCTATATCCCACATTGGAAAATAATCAGAACTTTTAGCGACTGCAATTTTTTGTAAACTTAGAAATGCAAAAACCAACTCTCACATGTTATATCTGCCACATGCTGGGCTAACTGACTTATACTTGGTACTGTAAACCCTAAATCCGACGACGCGTATTGAAAACACAAAGACTGCTGATATGGATTTATTTAATGATTCATCCACAGTCAGATTTGTATAAATGAGACTGAATATTATATAACATTAATTATATAATAACTTACTGTATGAACACATATTTACCTTATCTACCATACAACCGAACATCTCTAATCAACAGATATAAAGAGTTGATAATGCAGCTTCTTTTACCTTCCGAATTCATTCACTGTTTCGGATTTCAAATATGACAGAGGTAGGTGTTTAGAAGCTGTCTTAATGACCTGAGAGCGTGATCGCAGTGTCCAAGGGTCAACTGCTTGAGGTCGGTCATACACGACCTTTTTTCAGTAGTTTTTGTGTTAGTGCCGTTCTTTAAAGGACTTTACAGTCGGGGACGGATAACTGCGGGATAAAGCGAGGTTTGCATTTTTAGGGTTGAAATTTTCTAACCCCACCCCTCCTTGTGGGAAGGCAGCATCGCCGTTATGCTGGTTTTCTGAAGGAAACACCTTACTGTTATCACACCTCTGTACAGTCAGCAGTACGACTTCGCCTTCGGACCTTGGACCTTAGTCTTACCGCTCTTCAACCTACCTGTCTGGCATGGTAGGACCTTGAAAAACGATTGTTCCAGCCAGTATAGCTCAATTTATTCATCAAGATAAGCAAGCTCGACCACCACGTTAAGGTAGCAGCAATGGTCGGGAGATTTCAGCTAGTGTCAATTGTATACCAAACATACAATAATCATTTTAGATGGTGTCATATTTCTCTACCAATCATTCTTGTATTAATCTATCACTAATTATCACTATCATCATTTCTGATATCTTCTTTATTTTTTTCTTCTGTATTCTTCTTTTATGTGATTTCAGTGAGACACATTTCACAAAACTACCTTGGATAACAGAACAAAAATATTGTCCAAGTGTTACTACTTTAATACAATATTTAGAGAAAATTTCAGATCCTTATTCATAGTTGTGAGATGATGTTGTATAATTATCGATGGGTTTCCAATTTTTCATTTTCACACACACAAACACTTTTGTATGTTTCATTTTTTTCTTGTTTAACCCATGGTATAAAAATATTTTTTTGTGATTCGCAAAGTTTGTTTTACCGCAAAATATTTTCATTGATTTATGAGTGGAGTGTAAAGGAGGATGAGGGTTTTCCTCTTTCAATCACGAAGTTGGTCATAGGATTATTTTGTAGTAAAGTGGTTGAAGTTGTAAAACTATTTATCAACGATTTTTTGTAATAAGATAGATTCCATCCTTTGCTGTGTTTTTTTTTCGGGTTTGTACAAAATGTAATATTTCTTACTTTAAGTTTGATTGGCTTCCACAAGATTTGTCATTGTCATACAGTCTTTCCAAAGCTGATCGTAATATCTTTGGTAAAATATCATGAATTCATTTGGCATTTAGTCCTTTCTCTTCTCACAGGCAAATCTAATAAGTATAGCGCCAAATGCCCTAGTACGGCCGAGAGTGAGGAGAATCCGCTCTCCCAATCGAGATGCTATAACATGTCCTCGCGTATATAGCATTTGCCAGGGAATTCCTACTCACCGCCTTCACGTGGCACCGGTGTTGTTTACGAATAGCGAATGTCCGGCGCTTAAACAAGGTTGGTGCACGACAAGCCCACCTACGGGAGTTGGAAAACCCTGATTCCAAACCAATGGTGCACATAGGCTCCAGTACCCTGAGGGAACGAATAGCGTACGAATCAATCATTGGTCACCGTCTTTCATGGAAATGCATCTCCTCACGATGCTCTACTACTGCTTTGTGTGTCAGACCTTCAGGACGAAGGTTCTGGATTTGGCCTCCTGAGAAAACCACCTGCTTCGGTTTGGACACCCGGTCAGTATCACAGCCGTCACACAAATCAAATAAGTTTTGTGTGGCGCATATATATCTGTTGCCTCTTTGTACCAATATTTATGTGTTCATTATAAATGATTAGCGAAATTGTTGTCTTGAGGTTATGCAACACGTTGTTAATGTTTAGCAAGAAAATATGTTTTATACAACACTTTCAACTTCTTTGTCTTCTTATTAGACCAATTCTTGATATTGGAGTGTAATTTCTTCAAATGATTTCATTTCCATTGTCTGGAGTTATCCATGAATATTGATCATGAACATTTTAGTGTAGCGCAGCCAACTTATCAGATGAAAAAACACGAAGAATTTCTCTACTGAAAATTATTATTCTGTTATATAATCAAGATTCAGCCACTGAATGAATGCAAAAATAATGAAAGTGTTCCGTTGTTTCATTGAGAAAAAGTAAAGATAATTCAGTGTGGTAAACTTTCTTATCGACGATTTAATTTACGAAGGTGTACCATTAAATTTGTCGTTAATTTTACTTGCTAAAATAGTAAAAAAAGGAATCCTAATGAATAATTATCAATAATTGAATTGGTAACTTGTCATGAATTATTTACTAAAATCAGATATTGAAAAGAAGTTATTTCATAATCGGTTGGTTAAAACTACAATGATGAAGACAATCCGTCTACTTGAAAGCTATTAAGAACAGAATAATTGAAAGTTTTAATGATGGCCAATGAATAGTTGCGAAAATAATTCTCCACTGAAAAATCATAGTTCACAGAAGACGGAAAGGAAGTTTACAGACATGGAATAATGATGGACTGAATAGGTTGTTTTCGTACTCAAAGATTAGTCTTGAACTAGTGGATAATACTAGTCTCTACTGTACGTTAGTACTTTATTTGCATTCCTTGTGAGTCAACCTTTCTGACTATAATTTTAAGGGGTGCTCCAAATATAGAAGAGTGACCAGAACTGAGTAGGTGCTGCAAGTTTTAGCTTTTGACTGAATTCTTCAATCGTTTATAAATCTATATATAGACATGCTTTCCGAAAGGGTTCGTTTTGTGCGCTTAATATAACCTGATCCACATGAACAAGGAGACTGATAGATGCAGATTAGACCGGAAGCGGGCGATTAACCTCCACACAATGCAAATCATGGGCCGACTGGTAAACATAATACAAAGTTCAATCGAACAGAACATTTTTCTCAGAGATCTCAAAAGTCTTTCAGATTTGCTACCGTAGTATCTCCTGTAAATTGAGTTTTCATAAGGAGAGAGTTCTCCAGTGCTATAGACACTGTTTCACATTGTTATTTTGGCTTCAGGTTAATTTTTCAATAAATATAGACCGGATTGTTATGTCCTCTACTTGATTGCGGTAGAATTCGATGTACAACTAACGGCACTCGAACGTTCAGAACTCCACAGCCGTAAAATCAGAAGATGGAAGAAGCAGAGGAAACGATTATTGGGTAAGAATCAAAATTTATTTTATTTAAACACAAATATTGGTACAAGGAAGCACCAGATACATATGCGCCGCACAAATCTCATTCGATTTGCGTGAGGGCTGTAATACTACCCAGAAGCCCAAACTGAAGCAGGAAGAATCAAAAACCTACAGAAAAAAACGTGGATACTTATACGATCACCAAATCGGATCATGTAATATACACATACAATATCCAACCGACAATAGTAAGTTAATGATAAATTATATTGTAGATTAACTAGCTACAGTATAAGTATGTCTAACCAATCATTCTCAATGTGATGAGATAGTAACAATAATTCTAACTCAAAATATCCAGGCTGATACATTTAAGCCGTATAACATATAGTTGAAAATGAAATGGAGCAACTGAGATGGTACCGAATAATATATTCGGTTCATTTACGTTCATATCATTCAGCCGCAAAGGGTACCCAAACCAAGACATGGTATCAGTTCATAAAATCAGTGACTGATTTATACACCGTTGGTGCCTTATCTAGTAACGGTTATCAAAGCGAACAATACACGAAGTTTAAGGATAATATCGAATATGGAAATAAAGGTTTGCTTTTTATAATAATATGTACAATGATGATATCCATTAATGCCGAGAAACGGAGGCGGACATGAGAAGAATGAACTAAAGTTGGATACAACTAGAAAAGAAGGCTCAAGACAGAGTGGTTTGCAGAATGCTGGTCAGTGGCCTATTCTCCATTGGGTGTAACAGGCGTAAGTAAGAGTTGATTATGAAATTTTCGAAATTGAACCGGTTGAGAAATCTTCAATCTCTTGTTAAGCCTATTCCCCAATGTTGTTTTAATTAAAAAATGTTTCTATGAAAATATTAACATTTCGAAAATTCAATTTTTTTTTAATAGGAAGAAGAATCAGAAGGGGTTTTGTGGAGATTTAGTATTTCCATAGTTCAAAGCATGAGCCCACGATAGAACAAACGGTCGTTCAATGCTTCCATGTTTTCCTTTGTTGTCTAGCTTCAATTGACTTATGCTTTCAACTATGAAAAAGAAGAATGTATTTGTAAAACCTCGTTGAATGAATTCGAAATAAATCCAACTTTTCCCCCAGCAATCTGGTCTAAGCTTTTTCCTTGGATTTACTTCAAATTCATTCGCTGAGACTTTACAACTATATATTCTTCCTTTTTATTGTCCTATATCAACTGGGCACGTCCTACCGCTCCTCCTAATCGACAGAACCTGCTACAGCCAACGCCGTTGCTCCAGAACACTCCACTCGACGTCACTTCTCCGTATCACACTGACCCGACTAACACCTCAACTCGAGAGCCCCAGCGGCGTCCACAAAACAACACTCTTCCCCCCCTGGTTGGCAGTGACACCAAAAGTAGTGAGCAAGAACACATGTGTGGACAATCGAATGTGTTGTAGCATAACATACCTCATTAAAATATAAGAACCGTATAGTGAACATTTAATTTGCGAAATAACAATCAATTGTCTCAATTCGACTGATTCTTCTGCAAATATCCATCCATAGCCTCCGATTATAATTGTTCATTCATTTTCGTACCAATTACGTCCATTAACAGTTTTCTCCTTATCAATCTTGTAAAATACATTCAATGTCCGACCATCACCATATACTACTTATATGAACATCAGTAACCCACACCACACTATTAGATCGAACACCAATTAGGAAAGATTCCGTTTATTTAGCACCGAAATAACAAGATATTGGTAGACCATTAAAATCATTTAACAGAAATCTAGTTAAAAGAAATCGACATAAAACGGAGACTTCATCGAACATTTCCGAAAGACAATGTGTACTAATAAAATTGGATAATGATGAATTTGATGTAGTTCCAGAGATGTTGACTTATATTCATGGGATGATACTGGTGCAAATAAAATGACAGTTATTGATATGCACACGTTGAGTATCAATAATGTCATAAAAAAGACGTTACAACACAAAAAATCAAATACGAAGATATATAATATATAAATGCTATGTACGTCGGTATTGATTTCCACACCGGAACTCGGTCCTAGTACCATCCACATCATCTATATAACACATTAACTCTTGAGTCAATGAGTTCAGTAACATGTTTGATCCGTGTGAACAATCCATTAATTCAAAATAACTTATGACAATAATCATATCGTGGCAGTGCTTACAGAATGACAATTTGGTAACTAACACTGATCAAAATTGAGTCTGTAGTTTACTGGAACCATAACTGTGAGTGATATAAACACCGGATTGCTGCAGCAAAATGATCGCTTACTAAAAAAATTTGAGATACCCATCGTGAAGTGGTACTGGTTAGTTCATATTTATACAATAATTCCGGTTTGAGAAGTTAGTTTCAGAGATTCGAATGAGAAGTGTAGATTGCAGTTAACATTGTGATTCATAAGAATCAGTTATCATTTTGAGGAATGACTTTCGTCTAACTTTTATTCACAATATCCCTCATACAAATTCTCATTTCCGTCAACCACTAGTCCAACTCTTAATGTGGGTGAACAGCATTAAAACTCAAACATCAATTTATAGACATTTAATTTCACACATTACAATCTTTTACTGCATCAATGTTTTGAACATGAACAAATAAGAGTTAGTTAAAATTAACGGTGAATATTGCTAATGAAAGAAGAAATTTATGATTGATTAATTTGACAATTAATTAATTGGTACAACAGTCCAGTACATCATTCGCAAATTCAAATTCATTTAGTTTCGATCGTCACCTGCAATTCAAACAGAATCATATGGATGATTAGTAATATGATAAATTACACATGTGTACATACGAAATGAACGACTGTACAAAAGTAACACTGTTTAATGGATCTTGACCAGCATGTTTGCATTCATTTGATCAAATATGATGTACATCCGACTAGAGTAATGAATCCATTTGAATTGATATTTCAATTCAGCGATTGTGCATTAAATCTAATGAACCGTCCTGTAGTCATTCTTATTTCTATTTTGCGCACTTCCATTATCCAAACACACAATATTTCGTCATCATACACCACTTCATCTTTAAATATTATTCCATATAT